GTCTCTCATGCTTACCAGTAGCTTTTAATCTCTCTCTCTCTCATAGACGCTCTCGGCACTTTATGCGACCACAATAGTGTCGTCGGGAGTGGTTAAAATTAATGATAGTTTTAACAGTAGCAGGGGCCAGTATTTTATTTGAGGGGGAAGCCGGAGTGCCCTTAGAGAACCACCGACTTTCGGCATTCATAGTCTATTTAGATAGGAGTCGAACGCACCTGCCACGTGCGGAGTTCGAACTCGTAACATAGGCGGATCCAAGGGGGGGGGGGCCTGGGGGGCCCGGGCCCCCCTTTCGTGCGAAAAATTTGGTTGATTATATAAGGAATCACTGAAGCATGACTGGAACGGGCCCCCCTTATGAAAATTTCTGGATCCGCCACTGCGTAACCTCAGTGTTCACAAGCTATTGATACAGTAGTTGAACTACTAAGACAACTCGGACACTGAGGCCCTCTTACAATGCATGAATCATAGTATGGAGTTTGCCTAGGCCCTTTTTCGCTATTTTGCGGATATTCAGGTGGTCCATCTACTATTTTGAGATCTAGGTATTGGTTGTTCTTGGACTTGTTGGAGAAAGTGTAAAATCTCTGTTTTTATTTTTAATGATTGGGAAGTAACATATTTTGCATCTTTTATTTTTCCCTTTTTGCCATCTGTTTCATTTATGGAATTTCTATCATATCTTTTATGTTTTAGACGTCTTTATTCATATCGTCTATTCTTAATTTGCTGTAAAGGGTGGTTCTTGGTGTTATAATAAAAATAAAACAAGTCTATTACGACTATACATGAGGATGTGGATGGGGTTTACAGAATAGAGAATAATGGGCAAAAAGTGCATCATAAAGGGCATAAAATATAGATAATAGAGAAAATTAGGCCAAAAAAGAATAGAGAATAATGGGGGGTTAAAAAATAACCCTTTGGCAAAACTTTTAATAAGAATAGAGAAAACTGCCCAAAAAATTAAAGAATACAGAATTCAAGGACCCCCATCCAGACCCTCATGCATTTTGTGCAATTATAAAACCAGCTTTAAAAAACCCACTTTGTTATGATTGCATGTAAATACTATTATATATTTTTGTCTATATAAAATTTTCATCAAAGGTCACCGTATGTTGACCTAGTTCTTGATGTCTTTTGGTTTTATGTGTTGTAGGGTTTCTGTTTCTTTGACGTATACTCCACATCTCCTTTTTTAACTAATTGATATCAAAAGTTAATGCATAGTGGCATAGCTTTACTTCCGTTTGAATATTGGGTTTGGATTATTTTATGGGTAAAATATTTAAAATGGGTAAAATCTTTCAACAATGCAGTTTTGTGCCATCTATAAAATTTATAATTTGGTCTCATGTTCAGAAATGTGTAAAAATGATGCTGATTTTCAAATGGAACTCATGAAGGTATGCAGTGTGAATGTTAGCAATTTGAAATCTTTGATCTTGAGGTTACACTTTCATAAAAGAAATATAGGACATATTGGACAACCTCTCCTTTCCTTTTCCGTTCATTGATGTTTAAATTCCCTTGGTTATTTTACCACGGAAAGCTGGTTCGATATATGCATAATTGTTTGCAGTAAATTTTCGTATTTCGTGAATAAATGTAATTATTTCATTTCTAATACCTTTACAACTAGCATATAGATACAATGAATTTACTAAACATTTGACTACAGATACAAATATTAATTGTTGAAAAATTATTCGAATCAGAGATTGTTTCTTTAGTATCGGACACAAAGCTTGCTTACCAAGGTTATATAAGAAGATAAATCTTCTAAATCATCAAATAAAGAACTTTAGCCTAGCTTTCAGACTAACTATATAATTATTTGTGAGTATTTTTTATATGAAATTATCATAGTTTAACACTGCTACTTGTCTCCTCCAAACCTGATGAACAAAGCAAGGATGCACATTGGAAATGGAAGGCCCTTGGATGTCCGTCTAACAAAAACGACCCTGTAAACAAAAAACGTTTGGATATGAAAAGAGAACTTAGAAAACTTCAAAGACAATTGAATGCTGAAGAGCGACATTCTCTCTATCAGAACATTATGAATGCTCATTCTGGTGACAATGCCACATTTTATAAAATTATTCGTCGTCAGAGGCAGAGTGGAAAACGCCTACTTGACTGTCTGATTATTGATGATGTTCATTTTGATACACCTGATCTTATTCGTGAGGCGTGGACAAATTATTTCACTGAATTATCTACTCCTTCGGAAAAACCGCAGAATCAACAGTACCGTACTCAAGTTGAGCTAGACCGTATTTTGCTTTAAGACATATTTGAACATGAAGATGAAAAAACTATTAAATTTTGATATTGAAACAATTCAAAAATGTATTTCAAAAATGAAAACTGGAAAAGCTACTGACCAATTTGGAATTTCTGCTGAACATTTTAAATATGGAGGTGAAAAAAAACAGCCAAAATACTTACAAACTTGATAAATGAAGCATTCAAATTTAAGCGTGTACCACAGTGTTCCAAAGAAGGTATTGTTTCACCATTGTTCAAAGGTCATGGAAAACCTATCTGCCTACCAAAATCTTATCGACGTATCACAATTTCTCCTGTTATGGGAAAACTGATGGAATCGGTACATCTTTATTTAGAGGAACCTAAACTACTAAAGGTACAGAGCAGACTTCAACGTGGCTTTACTGCCGGGGTCAATCCTACTTTTGCAGCACTTCCCCTTACTGAGGCAATCATAGAAGCAAAAGAATTAGGACAAACACTATATACTACTTTTGTCGATGCGTCATCCGCTTTTGATGTTATTTGGCATGCCTCTCTGCTAAAAAGGATATTTCAAAGTGGAATTTCTGGACAAAGTTGGCAAATCTTAAATGATTGGTACACAAATATGAACTCTGCAGTCCGCTGGGAAGGCAAGTTATCTACATCGTTTGCTGAACTCCAAGGCGTCCGTCAAGGCAGCGTATGGTCACCTTCCGTCTACAAACTTTTCGTTAATCCACTAATAAAGAAGTAAGAAAGTGACAGTTTGGGTTTTAAAATTGGAAATGTTTTTGTGGGTACTCCAATGTGTGCAGACGATCTGCTACTTGTCTCCTCCAAACCTGATGAACTCCAGTCTATGATAAACTATACTTCCCATTTTGCAGCGACAGAAGAGTATATTAAGATAAGTTAGGAAAAAACTAAAGTTATGATATGGAACTCATCTTTAAATTGCAACCTTTGGAATCAAATGGAAATGTTCCACATTGGCTCAGAAGCATTAGAAACTGTAGAAAATTATAAACATATAGGAATTGATAGAGACTCTCGTGAAGTAGAGGCAACAAGGACAATTGTTGGAAATCGTCTAAAAACTGCAAGACAGACGTCTTACGCACTTATGGGCTCAGGACTGCATGGTTTAAATGTACTTAACCCAGAGGTGTCATGTAAACTCTGGTCACCATATGTGGTTCCACGTTTGATATTTGGACTGGAAATAGTAAATCTTAGTGCTAAAGATATTTCCCGCTTGGATATCTTCTGTAATAACTTTCTGAAACAAATTCAAAATCTTCCCGCTAGAGCCTCCAACGCTGGAGCTTATCTACTTCTAGGTCAATTACCTATCATTGCACTTCTACATAAAAAGATCCTGATAACGTTTGGTACCATAGCTAGAAGCGACTCTGTTGAAAATGATCTTGCTAAACGTCAACTGTCTACAAAAGGAAAAAATTAAAAAAGCTGGTTTATAAGGGCTGACAAGATTTTGAAACAATATAATTTACCGTGTGCCTCAGAGGTTTTACTTAAATCAGAGACAAAATACAAGTGGAAAATGAAAGTAAAGAAGTCTGTTGATGGCTTCTGGTCCGAAAAACTGTTTACTGAAGCCAAATCAAAACCGTCATTACGGTATTTGAATATCAAAAACTGTAAAATTGGTGCTGTTAATTCTATATGGAAGAGTGCAGGTTCGGAACAAATGTGTCATGATACGTAAAGCCTGTTGTAAGACCAAAATGCTTTTGGATACATACATTCTACAGTACCACCGCTCAAAATTTTCAAATGGTCAAAAAACTTCAATGTGTCCACTGTGTGAGGAAGGAACTGAAAACTTAGAACATTTTCTTGTCGTGTGCTCTACCTTAACAAGTATTAGAGACATTTTTATCTCAAATCTTTATACAGTCGTTGTACCAAAGATTGGAACTGCTGCATGGTCTGTCATATGTGTTAGCAACTCAAAAATGGTAAAATTAATCTTGGACTGTAGTCTTTTCGATTGGTACCATGTGTTAGAGAAAAATGACATTAATTTGGTGGAATCGATTACAAGAAGTCTGTGTTACTCTCTTCATGAAAAACGTAGTGCTCTCCTTGAAAGTAAATAAAACATTTATAAGTTGTAAGGTTTACCAAACTCATAGGTTGTAAATAGATACAATTGTTTAAAAAATGATGTATAGTGACTGAAAACAGACTGTAAATATAGTGAAACAAAATTTTACTGGATGAACTCCAGATTCTCCTGATAGAGGAGGGATTTACAGAAGGTAACGGGTAACAGGTCTATTTATATGAAGATACCCGTAGATGTGTTTTGTCGCTTGATATGTATACTATTAGTTGACTGAGGGTGTTTTATGAACTTATTTTTATTATTTGTTCTTGTCAGTGTCTTTTGTCTTCAAGTTGTCATTCCATCGTCGAAATTAGGGGGATAACCTCGAGAACGCCAAAAAAATATAGTTTAACCCTTCTACGTATCTGCAGAGACATATATACAAATGTATTTATATGTCTCTGATATCTATAAACACATATTAACGGTGCATAAGCCTTTGTCTCAGATAACTATTTCCTCTCCACCGCCTATTTAAGACATTATTCATAACAAGAAAAAACAAATTTTCAGTCATATGGGTGCACTCGATTATGAACTAGCTGGTGACTAGTTGTAAACGTGAAATGTACACTTTACCTTTCATTAAAGTGAACGTTTCCTGTATTTTTAACACGTGAAATCAGTCAAATTGTAAACAATGCCCAAGAAACGTTTGGCACAGAACTGTTACAGAAGAAATGACGAAAAAAGATTACGAGAATATAAAAATCATAATTTCCAGCCAACCGTTTTAAATGACGACATGAAAAGTTGCCATATTACAAAATTAATCAAGAAAAGTTACTCGGACAAGACAGAAACTTGTGAAGGTACCATACCGAAATCATTTAACTGTTTAAGGAGTTCGGATGTCTTTTTACGACATTTTTGTATCTGTTTTTCAGGTTGATGAATACCCTTCTCATAAACGGGTATTATACCCATTTATTTGCATTATCCTGATAAGATATCAAATTATTTACAGTGATATTTTTTTTGTATTTCATTATAATGGCTGTCATTGCGCACACATTCATGTAATTTGCATCATTTAATATTTCTTTTAAGACCACAAATGAGAACAGAATAAAAGTGAATGGCCTTCAAAATTCTATTTTTTTTAAAACTTTTATTCAGAAGATAATTCAATCATGTGTCTTTGGACAAAATGTTGTATTTTACTTGAGTATTTGCACCGCCCTGAATCCAGGTCTTTTCGCCAAAAATCATGTTCGCTCCCATTCACGTTCCCACCCTACACGTTCACACCCTCTTTAAAAATGTTAAAGTTTTGTGTGGAATAACTTTTTAATCATGTTTTATTTCGTGTATTGCTATAAAATAAAGATAATAAGTTTTTTTTTATTGTTTTAAAGTAAAGTGACATTCTAAAAACATAAACATGTTTCCTTTAATAGTGTTTTGTGAATTATTTTGACGAAATGTATAATGAATATTGTCATGATGATCAAATTTAAAGGCCATTAGTTCATTCATCTAAGACTTTTAAAACATTGCAGGAAGATACCATACTACTATCAAACTCGTCACAATGACATCACCACGACAACAACATATAACACAAAAGCCAGCCAACAAAGCACATGTCTATGAGGTGTTGTATTACAGCTATTAGTTCATATACATCATGTATATATTTCCATGCCTTAAGTGTAAAAAAGCTTGAAGCTTACAAAAACACCAACAATGATAAGGTCAAACAAAAAGTATGTGTGTTTACTGTTACATGCTGAAAAAAAATAGGGTAGGTACATTTGTAGGTAGGGAATTTTTTTATATTTAATATTTTTTACATTGAGTCTATGGGAGAAACATTGTGACTTTAACAGTGCTTAATCAAAAATGGTAAAAAAAACTTCAGGGTAGGTAAGGGGTACAGTAAACACACATACTTTTTTGTTTGGCCTTTCATTGGTTGATATAAAAGTTGTCAGAACAGTAAGGAGGAGGGAGTGTTGTCAGGTCCTTGTAAATGTAGCGTGGAAAGGATCTGTATTTTATTTTTAAGCAGATTGACTTAAAGATATACAATAAGGTCACATTATACATCAACAGATGAAGAAGCCATGAAAAAAAGTAAAATTATGGAAACTTTGCATGCAACGTCCACAAAAGTTGACTTTTAACAATGAGCAATTAAAATATGTCTGGACACAAGTATCTTACAGGCATCTTACAAAATGCATAATAAGCATGGACTAATTCAAATTGTTCCAAAAATGTGGAGAAAAGAAAACAAAAAACATTAGTTATTTTTTATGTCCCCGCCGTAGCGTAGGGGGCATTAAGTTTTACCCTTGTCCGTCTGTACGTACGTCCGTCCATACATCCCAAAATTGGTTTCCGTTCTCTAACTTTAGTTTGCCTTAACCAAATGTTATGAAACTTATACACAATGCTTATTACCACAAAACACAGATCAAGTTTGAATTTTGGTGGCGTCACTTATACTGTTCTAGAGTTATGCCCCTTTACAAATGGAAAAATTGCTGAATTTTTCATTTCCGTTCTCTAACTTTAGTTTGCCTCAACCAAATGTTATGAAACTCATACACAATGCTTATTACCACAAAACACAGATCAAGTTCGAATTTTGGTGGCGTCACTTTTACCTTTCTAGAGATATGCCCCTTTACAAATGGAAAAATTGCTGAAATTTTCGTTTCTGTTCTCTAACTTTAGTTTGCCTCAACCAAATGTTATGAAACTTATGCACAATGATAATTACCACAAAACACAGATCAAGTTCGAATTTTGGTGGCATCACTTTTACCATTCTAGAGTTATGCCCTTTACAAATGGAAAAATTGCTGAATTTTCTTTCTGTTCTCTAACTTAAGTTTGCCTCAACTAAATGTTATGAAACTTGTAAACAATGCTTATTACCACAAAACTCAGATCAAGTACAAATTTGAGTAGCGTCACTTTAACAGTTCTTGAGTTATGTCCCTTTATAACGTTATATGCAAGCGGGGGCAAAATAAACATTTTACTAGCATTTAAATCCTTAAGAGCAATAAGTTAAGAGTGTTACATGGCATTTTCAATATCAGCCCCCACAAGTTCACATTCTTACCAAATAATAAGAACTATACAATAATACAGTATGCCATATTTTCACATTAATATTAATCAAAAAATGAAATCATTGATCCATAATTGCCAACCATTTTTCCAAAGCATGTAAATTAAGCACACTAAGGAGCTCCAAAGAGGGAGGCTGTCATTGACAATTTTCCAACACTTTTTAACATTTTGTGTGGAATTTTTTTGCCAAGTAGTTTTAGGATCTTTTCATACGTTTTTATACGACTGCAAAAAATTTGCGGCCGTATAATGGTATGGCGATGTTGTCCTAGTCGTCCGAAGACATTTTTGGTTTCCAGACAATAACTTGAGGATAATTGGATAGATCTCTATGAAATTGTACCACAAGGTTCCATACCTCAAAAGGAAAGATGGGATTGATTTTGGGTGTTATTGTCCTTTAGATCCAAAGGATCCAAAATTAAATTTAGTTTGATTTTAACAAAAATTTAATTCTTGGGGTTCTTTGATATGCTGAATATAAACATGTATTTAGATTTTTTATTTTGGGTCCAGTTTTGAAGTTGGTCCAAATGAGGGTCCAAAATTTAACTTTGTTTGATTTCATAAAAAATTGAATTCTTTGATATGCTTAATCTATAAACCATGTATTTAGATTTTGGATATTGGACCATAACAGGTTAATGTCCAATTTCAAATTTTTAAGTTCTTAGACCACATTCATTCTGTGTCAGAAACCTATGCTGTGTTAAATACAAATGTATTTAATCACAATCCAAATTCAGAGCTGTATCAAGCTTGAATCATGAAGTTGAATGTTGTGTCTATTCTTGTCCCAACTGTTCAGGGTACAACCTCTGCAGTCATATCAAGCTGCATCTTGCAGAGCATTTTTATTTTAGTTATATCTTATAGGTAATGTATTCTGTACTTTAGGGAATTTGTTTGTTCAGAGGCAGATCTTTGATGGTCTCTTTTAACTTTATTCACAGATATTCTTGACTGAGGGCAATTTAGAGTTATGACATGTGATCATATGTCGACCTCTAGATGTCTTTTGATATTTGTTTTGTGGGTTGCTGTCATGTTGACAGATATATCTTTTTTTATACATAAACTTGTATAATTTGCTTTTACATGTATATGTGAATTTATGTTATTTTTCTCTATAAATAGTTTGGAATACAAACAAGATTTTAGGATTCTTTCAGTAAATGTCAGAGTTGCTAATACATTGTATAATACTGTTTGTCCACTTTTTGTATTAAAATTGTTCATTGTTCAAATTAAACTTATCAGCTAATTCCATATACTTGCAGGTTGTATAAACTTTTACCATCAACCCTTCTTCCATGCAGTGATAAACAATTTTGTACAAAATGTAGAATTTTTACAACAGCTACAAGAAGAATTATCAGAGTTAACATTTACAGAAAAGAACAATGATCTCTACAAGTTTTACCAGGTAACTTATAAGGGAAATAAGTTTACACAGATACTCAACAGTAGAAATAAGATTTACTAGGTAACTTACTAGGGAAATAAGTTTACACTGATACTCAACAGTAGAAATAAGATTTACCAGGTAACTTACAAAAGAAATAAGTTTACACAGATACTCAACAGTAGAACTAAGATTTACTAGTAACTTACTAGGGAAATAAGTTTACACAGATACTCAACTGTAGAAATAAGATTTACCAGGTAACTTACAAGAGAAATAAGTTTACACAGATACTCAACAGTAGAAATAAGATTTACTAGGTAACTTACTAGGGAAATAAGTTTACACAGATACTCAACAGTAGAAATAAGATTTACTAGGTAACTTACTAGGGAAATAAGTTTATACAGATACTCAACAGTAGAAATAAGATTTACTATGTAATTATATTCAGTAGCATTTATTTTCACTTGGTAAATAAATAAACTAATTGGGGAAGTTATCTGTACCTAGTTTTTACAACTGACAAGCCTTACAGTGCAGGTCTTTGATGAGAATCTAAGACTATGATCAACCTTGTTACCAATTATTCAAATTAAGCTATTTACATTTTTCAATAAATAGTATAGTTGCATATACATGTATACTCAACAAAATATTGCACCCACAAAATTCAGTTACACAGTAATTTATTTCTAATTAAGGTAAAAAAAACATTAATGATCCCTATCAGAGCCCTACAACATTCTTGTGTTGAAAATGAACATGACATTTAAAAAACAGACTTACTTGTGAATAGGTTGCAAATTAAAAAGTAAATCTGTTCATTCTGTTTTGGCATTTTATGCCAACAAATTAAAAACGTACAGGAAACTAACAAAAGACTCCAACAGTATAGCTCAATGGTTTTCATGTATATATTTGCCACAATGACCTATATTTGATACTTTTAAAAGTATAAAAATAAGGAGATGTGTTATGGTTACCAATGAGACAATTTATCCACCAGTGATCCACCAGTGACCAAAGGGCAAGGATTTAAACAACTGCAGGTAAACATAAAACTATTAACAATGAGCAAGACCCATACCTTATAGCAAGCTATAAAAGGTTTTGACATGTCAAAACGTGAAAATTCAAAAGAGAATGAGAAATCAATGGCCATCTTTATTATGAAATAAACTAAAAACAAATATGAACAGCAACCAATGACAATCACTGAATAACAGGCTACTGACTTTGGACATTCACATAAAGAATGTTGCAGGGTTAAACACGTTTCTAAGCACTCAACTCTCCTCTAACCTGGGGTAGTGTCTGTTTTTAGTCTTGTATTTTAAAAGTTTTTTTAGATAATAATAAATCAGTGATATATATATATACATGTATATAAATACATATTTCCTGTAGTGTACAGCATAGTTCAGCACCCCTTGGGTCAATATGACATTTATTTTAAATTCAAGAGGTTATGTTCAAGTTTTTGGTTTAGGTTCATTTCTATGAAACTATGGTAAAATATCAATAATATCTAACCACTGCAGTATAGCATAATACATTGGTGATTAGCTAGATTTGGATCACAAATACCTACATTTCACACTTAAATTACTGATGATAACTTTTGTATTTAAGTCCTTTCATGATTTTATCAACAGACCTTTTGAATGGTTTCTCTTACAGAGTAAAGAAGATTTAAAAGTTGTTGATCATCCATGTATAAATGCTCTTAGGTAAGCTTACTTTGTTTTGGATTGCTTTAATTACATTTATTAGTTATTTGTATGGTAATGTAATATTCAAAATGTAATAAAAAGAAATCATGTACATAATAATTCATTAAGTAAAAATGACTGTATTTTGTAGGAAAGATTTTTTTTGTTTTATTTGAATATAGTTTTAAAAAATCTTCCTTTATTGAGTTCACATAGCCTGATAAAAATTTGAAAAAAGAAATATTTTTATAACTTTTCTGATTTTTAAAACTGATATTGAATAGCGTTAAATCATTCTACATATTATAGATACATTTATTTTATTTTTACTTCAAAAGGTCACTGATATATAAAGACTTAAAAGAATGGATTACAGATATTACTGGTATAGAACTAATAGATACTGTTGATTTATCCTGTGCCAAATATCAGTATACAGGTAATTGTTACGTCTTTGAAGTATAAAATAATTGCAAGAGACTGTAAGTTTGATCCCTGACCTGGTCAAACCAAAGAATTTAAAATTGAAATAGCTGCTTCTCCACCTAACATGCAGCATATAAGAGTAAAAGCAAACTGGTCAACCCATAGTCAGATTATGTAGATTAACATTTCATACTGCAGGCTCTTGCCATATGAACTAGGGTCTTGTCTAGTTCTAAGTAGGATATGATTTTATGATACTGTAAACTCAGAAATTGTTGTGAGGTTTTGATTAATGTGAATACTTAGACTGGGTGAGTATTGCAATATCAAATAAAAATTCACATTTTGATATCTCATGCATATGCCTGTATGCAGCTTTTCCTGAAATCGCAATGAATATAAATCTTGTATATTTGTCCGTCCTTTTAAAATCTCTATAATGAATGCACACAATAATTTCTGAATTTACAGTATTTAAATGTTATTATTCTAAATACATGTATACATGTAATAGTTTCTGCAGGATATTCTAATATGACGTTCTTCAAACGCCTTGAGTACACACCCGTGGTAAAATATGAATATATTGTATGTCAGCTGATCGACAGCGTCATGATTTGTTTGGGCTATTCCGATCATACTCCCACGTCATATACTTTTTTATGAATGAGTTAGCTAACGTCAATCGGTGTAAATGAGTTCATTGAACATTGACGTAGAAAATATAAGCATTTTACGGGAAAATGCATGGTTTTGAAACTGAAAGTCATCAAAACAAGGAAACATAAACAAACGACTATAAAATTTGTTAAAAGCAAATTTTTCTACATATAAGTAAGATTATCATTTAAATTCATCTAAACCTATCTAAGTACGTTATAAAATAGTTTAAGCATGTCACTAGTTCAGTTTTCTTTGTTCTTTGACGTCAATATTAATAGTGTGTTTAATTACTGGAACGACAAATGTTTGCCTTCACCTAGAGTTCTTCGATCCAAAATAATTGCCATATTTGTCCTAATAGAATAGAAATAATTTGTGTGGGCTTGAATTATTTCTTAATTATTCACCCATAAATTAATCAACCAATTATGAAATTTCACTTAACCAGTATCTGATTATTTTGTTCTATTTTTAAACCCTTGTGTTAGAAGAAATTTTACTTTAAATTTTTGTTGACAACCATCAGCATATCATTGTTTGAAAAAAAAAATCTTTCTGCGATTAAATGAATGTCTGGAAAAAACCACTTTACTGAATTGAAACCTTACATATATATCAAATGATGGAGTTTTTTTTGACAGATACATTGCTGTGTCATGATGATGAGTTAGATGATAGAAGGATAGCCTTTATTTATTACCTAGTACCAGACAAATGGACTGAAGAAGATGGAGGAGCATTGGATCTATTTAATGTTAATGGTAAATAGTTATTTGCTTGTAGCCACAGGCAATTGTCTCAGAAAAAAATTTCCTATATACCTTATATTAAGGTATGTAGGACATTTTTTTTCTGAGACAAGTGCCTGTGCTTGTAGCCCTAAAAGTTTATAGGTATTTCATCTCCTCAGTAGTGTAAAAATGAATCAGGTATTAATACGGAAGTATGTATAGTAGACCATTGATATTTTTGTTTATCATTATGGTAGTGTCCACACACACACACATATATATAGATTCTACCACTGCATCGAGTGTGATACGATATTTATCCACTGGAGACAGTTAAATTTTCAAATTTAAAATTTAACTGTCGAGAGTGGATAAATATCGTATTACACGAGATTTGGTGGTGGAATCTGTTTCTCTAATGATTTTCAAACAATACGCAGGCAAATTTATTCCTTCTTTTCGAATGATCTGCAAAAAGATGTGTTCTTTCTATATGACATCATCAGGCATGGTCGCCTATTTTCATGCCGTCACAATAGGAAATTCAGAGGAAAGCAAGAAAATTCGACGTCATAATCGAATTTTAACCAATGAAGAACTGAGATCAAACGAACCACACGTTGATTAAATTTTTTTTTATACAATGGGTGCAGAAAGGGATAAATTGACGAAGAATTAAGAGAAATATATATATTAAATTTGATGTGCAACCACTTCTTGTAAGTCCTACCTCCTATCTTTAAATTGAGATAAAATACAAAAAAAAAGATTTTGCATGGGGTGTAAGTCCTAGAGACAGAAATCAAAAGACACCAAAAAACTACTAGAGGTCACTAATTTATAAGTGTCTATACAATCTGTCAAGATCTTATTTTTGTCGAGCCTTCGACTTTTGTCGAAAAAGCGAGACATAGCGATCCTACATTCCGTCGGCGTCGGCGTCGTCGTCGTCGTCGGCGGCGTCCACAAATATTCACTCTGTGGTTAAAGTTTTTGAAATTTTAATAACTTTCTTAAACTATCCTGGATTTCTACCAAACTTGGACAGAAGCTTGTTTATGATCATAAGATTATATTCAAACATAAATTTTGTAAAAAAAAAATTCCATTTTTTCCGTATTTTACTTATAAATGGACTTAGTTTTTCTGCCAGGAAACATTACATTCACTCTGTGGTTAAAGTTTTTGAAATTTTAATAACTTTCTTAAACTATCCTGGATTTCTACCAAACTTGGAAAGAAGCTTGTTTATGATCTTAAGATAGTATCCAGAAGTAAATTTTGTAAAAAAAAAAATCCATTTTTTCCGTATTTTACTTGTAAATGGACTTAGTTTTTCTGCCAGTTAACATTACATTCACTCTGTGGTTAAAGTTTTTAAAATTTTAACAACTTTCTTAAACTATCCTGGATTTGTACCACACTTGGACAGAAGCTTGTTTATGATCAAAAGCTAGTATCTAGAAGGAAATTTTGATAAAATTTTGTTCCATTTTTTCCGTATTTTACTTATAAATGGACTTAGTTTTTCTTCCAGTCAACATTACATACAGTCTGCAGTTTAAGTTTTTAAAACATTTATTAGATTCATAAATTATTCTGGATTTTTACCAAACTTGGACAGAAGCTACTTACATTCAAATGATAGTATAGAGAGGAATATTTTTATTAAATTTTTTTCTCATTTTTGTTGAGCCTGCGATTAACAGCAAAAGTAGGCGAGACACTGGGTTCCGCGGAACCCTTACGAATTTTTTTTCAAAGTGTTTTGCTATATATTGTTTTGGGTCCTGGATGAGTTGTTGGTTGATGCAGTTTGGAAATCCCTGTATATTTTTTTAATGTATTTTTGGCTTTAAATTTATTGTAGACTTTTTCGTCATAAATATTAATTTTAAGTTTAAATGCAACACTATGTTCTATTTTTTCTTTCATAGAAAATGGTCAGCCAGAAGCAACAGTAAAGTCAATTTTACCTATCAGAAATAATTTTGCCTTCTTTGAGGTTAATGCTGTATCTTTCCATCAGGTCTGTCTTATTGCAATGTGACTTTTTTCAATAGTTGTTTTATGAAGTAACAGATCTTTTTTTTCAAAAAGACTGCTTCAGATACTGCTCTGCATCATGTTTATTGTCAAACATAATTGTAAACCATGACATACACTTTTGTCATACACACACATGTCCAAGTTTTAAATGGCAACCTTTGACATTCCTTCAATCTGATATTAGAGACTAGATTTTGATGATACTATGGCTGTTATGAAAAATTCAGTGTGGCAATAAAAGAATACACTAGACATAGCCAAAGATAGAAGATATAAAATAATAATCCCTGATAGGATTTTTTCAGAAGGACTATAAAAAAACTTTTTGAGACAGTAAAATGTTTCTTCGAAGACCTTCATGATATTCTTAGAATTAAATAATATATTAAAATTTCCCTGCACATGTAAATAAATTTGAAATAACATTGTTCCATATTTATAAAGTTTTATTAATTAGGTTGCTGAAGTATTAACAGAAGACAAGACAAGACTGTCCATAAGTGGTTGGTTCCATGGACCACCTGTTAAAAGACCTGAACCTTATGTTGAATCTCCTGTCACACTACAGCCATCAGGATCTGTTGATGTAAATATCATTGAATAAGATATCATAAAAAAATGCTGAGTGTTTTACCTTATTCTGTTCTTCAGATGACAGTACATTCACAATACACATAAAAAGCAGTAAGACCGATATAGACAAATAATGAAAGATGTACAATGTATATCAACACAAAACTATTAATATTTGACCAATTTCCTTTCTAATTAGTTAAGTACTGGAACTCCTAGAAATCATTGGCAAATAACTAACAGACTATTTATCACATGCTGGTAGAATGATTGCATTCTATGATTTATTCAAACTATCGGGGGGTAATTTTATATTTGGAGGAAACAGGAATTCTTAGATACCTAGGCTAGAAACTATCAAACTCTATCATATAATAGTTGATGAAGTGTATCTTACAAATGACCAAAGTGAGTCACAATTACTAGATATAATTAATTTCTTTGAATAATTTAAGATTCATTTTGTCAATAAGAATTTTTTTCAAATTATAAAACACGAATCCTTGCTTAAAATTTATTTTTAAAAGAGCTAAGAAAAGTAACTTGCTTTTTTTCTTTTTTAAACCAGGAAGATATATTTTATGAGTGGATAAATCCTGCTTATTTGGACCCAGTTACACAGTCAGAAATACAGGAAAAATTTGAAGAAGATTCAGAAATTGAACTTACAGACTTCTTACTGGTATATAAGTAAACTTTGTGTCCATTTGTACAGATTATATTTTAAGTTTAAATGGGTACCTTCTTTATTGTAATAGAAAAAGTAGATTCAAATAGACATTTTGTGTTGAATAGATAATTCAAAACCAGTGAATCAGAAAAGTTGATTTTTTTTAGAAAAGGAATATAGTATCAAGTATGTTAATGGTTATTACATGTATGGTAAAGCCACTCAGCTGGATGTATTGCTTGATTTCTGATGTTGATATTACTATACAGATATTATCACTGAAAGCATAAAAGCTTTGAAATTTCATTTGAATTAAAGCTACACATTTTGTTTCATATTTGAAGTTTTTAAGCTAGCTATTCTCAGTAGTAGGAACAAAAAAGTGTTTAAACATTCACTGCTACACATGTATAGACCATTTAGGATTAATATTTAGGATGAAACTACCAAATTTGTTTATTTCAGCCAGAAAAATATGAAGAATTAAAAACAGTAATTCAAGAGACAAACTTAGAATGGAAAAAGAAAGGTCCTGCCAACAAAAGGTAACACAGGAAGGGAAATAATATATGGTATATTGTGTTAGATAATTATACAAAAGAAATTCACTCTGATCGATTGTATCACGGTAATGTGCTGGCTTCTATTTGATCTCCAGTCAGTTTGAACCAATTTTTATACGACCGCAAAAAAATTTTTGGGATCGTTTAATGGTATGATGTCGTAGTCGTCGTCCGAAGACATATTGGTTTCCGGACAATAACTTTAGTTTAAGTGAATGGATCTCTATGAAATTTTTTAAGAAGGTTTAATACCACAAAAGGAAGGTTGGGATTGATTTTGGGGATGATGGTCCCAACCGATTAGGAATTAGGGGCCCAAAAGGGGCCCAAAACAAGCATTTTTCTAGTTTCAGGATAATAACTTGTGTATAAGTATTTTGATTGCTCTGAAATTGTACCACAATGTTTAATACCACAACTAGAAGGTTGGGATTCATTTCAGGGGTTATGGGGCCAACAGTTTAGGAATTAAGGGCCAAAAAGAAGCATTTTTCTAGTTTCCAGACAATAACTTGTGTGTAAGTGTATGGATCTCTCTGACATTGTACCACAAGGTTCCATATAACAAAGGGAAGGCTGTGATTGAATTTGGGGTTAATTGCCCCAAACATGTAGGAATTAGGGGCCAAAAAAGGGCCAAAAACAAGCATTTTTCTAGTTTCCAGACAATAACTTGTGTTTAAGTGTATGGATCTCTCTGAAATTGTACTACAATGTTCCATACTACGTAAGGAAAGGCTGGGATTGAGTTTTGGGGTTATTGCTCCAAGGGGGGTTTCAAAAAATGGGGGGGGGGGGGGGATTTTTTTCCAATTTTTTAAGGGATTCATATTTTTTTTTCAAAATTTTTCAAATTTCAAATTTTTGAAAAGTTTCAAGAAGAAATCTTCAATCGACAGTATTGCGCAATATATTTGTAAGATCTTTGACCACATTTATTTTGTGTCAGAAACCTATATTATGTCAAAAATTTGATCACAATCCAAATTCAGACAGTATCAAGCTTGAATATTGTGTCCAAATTTGCCCAAACTGTTCAGGGTTCGACCTCTGTGGTCGTATCAGGCTGCGCTCAGCGAAGCATTTTATATTTTTGAAAAAGAGTATTTTCTGCTGCTTTGCTGACCACATGGCAATTAGAAATTATTCATGGATTCTGTTTGTATAGGTGAACCAAGAATTTAAATGTTCAACAATGTACAAGTTTCCTATAGGCATGTTTATACAGAATTTGTGAAACCCACAAAATCAATTATCCACAAAAAACAAATTTCCTCAATCCAAAAAATTTAAATCCATGAATATAAATAAAACATCAGTAAATTGAAGTTAGGATGCATTAATGTTAGCTTAACACTCTTCAATTTAAAGTACGTCACCATTGTCACTGGTCTACAATTTACTTACCCGATAATTTGATTTGATCAGCATAGTTCATTTATAGGTTTCTTAGATTTAGACTTTTGTCTAAATTCTATCAAATACATGTACATTCATTAAGGGTAGTCATACTTGTCATGTCTATTCACATTTAAAAAATCATACTATGATATTGCGTTCAAAGGCAGTTCTTGGAAGAAAGCAAATCTATGATTCCAAACCAAAAAAAGTTTCAATAAATTGACATGAAATAAATAGTTAATTTTTAAGAGAACAAAAGTTAATCATGTCCAAACTAACCTATAAATTACATCTGAACAACAGCTTGATTGATATTTTCTTTCATTATTTAAGTGTCTTTGATTGATATATTTGTAGGAAATACTCAGCATTAGACATGAACTCTGCACCAGAGATATTGAAGAACTGTATAGATTTTCTTCAGTCAGACGCTTTTTTTTTGGTTTTGTCAAATATTACAGGTTTGAAGTTACATGAACTGGCCTCTTGTTCAGATTCAGAAGGGGAAACATCAGAGAATGCTGAGACTAATCAAAATAATGGTAAAGAGAATGTACTATAGAAAGAGTTATATTAATTGTATCTTTGTGTCTATATCAGAAGGGTGTTTGTAATCATATCCCTGTAAATATTAACCTCTTATAGCTGGATAAAATAACCCAATGTTTTGCTTTTATACAAATATTTATTTTGGTTAAATTGTGTTGGTGGGGTGCTTTCTAATTCTGTTAAGCCAGCATCTGCTTTCATTCAAAATTAATAACCCCCTTTGTACTTACTGTCAGTTTTACTCCTGTCTGTCGATCCTTCTGTCCATACATATGTCTGTCCTTCCCATCAAGTTTCTGTCACATTTTTCATTAGTATAACATTTTTGGACATTGGGATAAAATAAAGATTTTTCTTTTATCAAAAAAGAAAGTCTATATACAGATTAGGTTAATAAAACGTCACCATTTAACATTTTTTGTTAAATTTGAAGTGTCTTATGACTTTTAAAATTTGATGGGTGGAGATTATTTTAGAAAATAGTCTGAACAATAATAGGAAATAATCAATTAAAATTTTATGCATGGAAGGGTAAAATCAAAAGTGGCTTAGTACCAACAAAACCCAATAATTTTATTTCTGGAACAACCCTTATATTTTATATAGACTTAATTTTCCATCTGCATTCATTACAGGTGGAGAAAAAATACCATGCTGCCATAGTGAGGTTAGAAAATGGAACCATGGGAACTATACATTGATCCATGATACAGATTGTACAACAACAGAGTTTGAATTAGATTCTTTGTTACATATATGTTGTGAAGGTATGTGTTCTATAATAATGTTATATTGATAAAAAGGTAAAATACGTATAAATAAGCCTGTTCCAGAATTTTGGAAAATTCAAAAACTTCATGACTACTAAGAGCCTTGAGCCAGGTGGTAAATATTAATTTAAATTGAATTGGGTTAAAACTGTTATTTCAGGTGAATATCCACTGATACTGATCTATTATGTTTTACTGTCCTTATAAAGTGTCAATTTTTTGGGGGAAAAGAATGAGATATATGCAATCATTTTCATTGGTTATGCATAGGACATTTTTTTGACTGACAATCATCATAAGAATATTGCCTAGTTTTTATCTATATGTTGAAATGTAATTTGTAGGTTGGAGTGAGGAATATGGAGGATTCACGTCATATATTGCTAAAGGAGAAGACGATGAGGTAATAAATGAATATTGGAACAAATTTCATTGCAAAATTACCAGCTGCACTTGTGACAATTTTAATTGATTTAAGTGTCACTAGAAGTCACTACAAAGCTGCTAGTTTTCAATTAAAGATGGGGGGGGGGGGGGGGGGAACCAGCTGTACTACTGACTGAGTTATTTCCCCTTTACTCTATCATGTTGCATTTGAACATTTGTATATTATAGATTGTTAAAGGAGATCTTTGCTTTATACCATAAAATATGTTATCTCTGAAGAAGTAGAGGATTTGTGTATACATCAGTAAGATAGCAACCCTAAAATTAAAGACATATGGACAAACATTAATAAGGACCCATGTAACAAAGAGGAAGACCCCCGATAATTTTTCATAAATTTGGTGAGCACCATTTCTCATAAAGTAAGAGTTGTTTACCATCATGTGGAATTCAGGATAATTTCTTTTGTGATATTTGAATCAGTTATTCAAGTGTTTTTGGATATCTGTTGTCAAAACGCCAGAATTTACTTAGAAACAATTTTGTGAGCACCAGATCTTTTACATAACACTTAATAAATCAATCAAATTTTAAACAATTTTGAACCATTTTGTGCCAGATCTTGATATCTGACAGAGTGCTTTTATCCAAGGGCAGATATCAATCGAGAGGTATTAGCAAGGCAGATATGGAAAAAGGCATATACTAATCTATATTTATTGTTTGTTTCAGTTGCTGTCAGTTTACCCAACAGAAAATAGTTTATCATTGGTTTACAGAGACAAAGGGACACTAAAATTTGTTAAATATCTAAATCATAAAGTTACTCAGATGCCAACAAAAGGATTTTATGATATTTTGTCTGTTTATAGAGAATAAATTTTGTTTTTAATACACATAAAATTTAGTTTTGCATATGTAATAACTGCAGATTTGCCCAGTAATTTTTTTGCCGGGTGCATATAATGGTTATTTTGCCGTGTTCTCAATGACGTCATAAGCATTCTTAACAACAATGGCATATAAGATGCTCATTTTGTCAACATCAAACACAAGGAAAAAGCAGAATATGTTAAACAAATAAGAAACACTAATGTTAAAAGTAAAACTGACATTGACATTATAATATTTAAAGACCATAGCTTTGAACTTTTGGGAAGATTTATAACAATGAAAATATATCAAATGAACAAATTTTGTAAGGTGTTGCATGCAGTCCACCATTATGAAGTTCTAATGTGGGGTGGGTCTTGCCTGCAATTATATCGCTGGCAGTGTCTGGCATAAACTCTTTGCATACTTTATATTTTGAAAGTAAGAGCTGGATAATCTGTGCCTTGTATATTGATGCTTTATGGTCTCAAGATTCTGTCTGGCATATGTCTATTGTTATAAACCTCATTTTCATGGTTAAATGATTGCATAAAAACATGATTTTTTTGTACATATAAGTAATATGTCAGTTGGAATATAGAATATTTGCAAGGTATTCATGTCTGTCTGAGAGGGATCCGCTGACCTTGAAATCAATATTTCAGGGTCCAACATTTAAGTTTCCATGATTTTGTCATTTTCTAAAACATCAAGTAAAAGGTCTATAAATAACTATATTTGGTATATAGAATGATTTTTTAGCTGTCCGACAGGGTTAATCTGACCTTTACCTTACTTTCATTGTTCATTGGTAAACTTTGAGTCTTTGTCATTAAGTCTTATCTCAGTTTAATATCTATAGAATGATTGTAAGGTGTACATGTTCATCTGACAGAGTTGATTTGACCTTGAACTTATTTTCATCTTTTAATGTTTTGTGGTAATGTAAGTTTTTCAGATACTTTAGAGTAATGTCAACTATATTTAGTGTATAGAATGATAGTAATGTGTACATGTCTGACAAGGTTCATTTAACTTTGATTACAATTTCTTCCACCAATGGACTCTGCAAATAAAGATTTTTTTGCAATACTTATCATAACCAATGGTCCATGGATAATATTATTACAGGACTGCTCTTTATAATTTAACTGCTATCAGCCTTTGAAAATACTGGTTATTTATTCTATGTATGATGATTAAATGAAAAATCATAATTTGGGTAAGTAAAACAATCAGCCTGTGTCAAATTTAACCCATATATTGTTGTCTCCTTTCTGAATTACATTAAAGGATACTACCTCCATCCAGCCAGTTCTTTATGATGTATTAATCTAAAGGTGGCTTTGGATTTAACGTCTCCATTCCTACAGGATGTGGCTGCATATTTATACATCCTGCACAGCCAAACGGATGCCTCACGTTTGCAAGGGTTTTACTGCTTGTCAGAAAAATACCAAGAAGACTATATTGTTTATTCCAGTCATCCTTTGGGTTTGAATCACTTGAAAGCCATGTCCTTTGTATTTTCAAAGTTTTTTTTTATTGAAGTCCCTGGAATGCAGCAATATTGCATCACTACAAATACCCCACAAGGAACTTTGGTCATATCTTATTCAACTGAATCAGTAGATTTTGTAGAGTGATCTTTCAAACTATACGTCATAGGCTATTGCTTCAGCAGTATAAAGAAGATCACTGAAAAATCATCCAATAATAAACACCTTTATTATTCAGGTGAGGTATTGTTTATTGATAAAACCTTTAGGAATTTTGGGTCCTCAGTGCTCTTCAACTTTGTACTTTATTTGGCTTTTTTTTAACTTTTTGATTCAAGCGTCACTGATGAGTCTGTTGTAGACGAAACGTGCATCTGGTGTACAAAATTTCAACCCTGGTATCTATGATGAGTTTATTTATCTGATATGAAGCCAGGCAACAATTCCTACAAAAATTTCTGCCAACTTTAGTTTCATTTTCTTAAGTCTTTTAGAAATAGAAGTTCCCAGTGTCAGATTGTGAATGAATGCACAGTGACTGGAAAACGTATTTATAATATTGTCTTTAGCCAAGTAATTAAACAAGGAGAATCATAAGTTATGAGAGGAATGTATTTATTTTTACTATACAACAAAATGTAAAAGTAACAACTTATAAAATTTCTAATGCAAATTGGTTTTTGATTTACATAGTTATTACACAACGTTTAAAAATATTTTAAATACTACACTATGACTAGAACAAGAATAGCTTCATTGCATGTAAAAATCTATCTAAAATATCAGCAGTCACTTATAAAAATTTAGGCATGAAAAAAAAGAAGAGAAAAATAACAAGATTTCAGATAATTTTACAAATCATAAAATGATCACAGGTATTTTTTCTCTTTCTTAGTTTTTATACGACCGCAAAAAAATTTTGTGGTCGTATATTGGTATGACGTTGGCGTCGTCGTCGTCGTCGTCGTCGTCGTCCGGCGTCGTCGTCGTCGTCCGGCGTCGTCGTCCGAATACATATTGGTTTTCGCACTCTAACTTTAGTTTAAGTGAATGGATCTTTTTGAAATTTCACCATAAGGTTAAATACCACAAAAGGAAGGTTGGGATTGATTTTGGGGGTTATGGTACCAACAGTTAAGGAATTAGGGGCCAAAAAGGGGCCAAAAATGAGCATTTTCTAGTTTCCAGACAATAACTGTGGAACGGTGTATGGATCTCTCTGAAATTATACTACAAGTTTCCATACCACAAAGGGATTGTTAGGATTTGCTTTGGGGGGTTATGGCTCAAACCGTTTAGGAATTAGGGGCAAAAAAGGGGGAAAAACAAGGTTGTCCTGGTTAATGGACAAATACTTTAGTACAAAACATAATTTAAAGCAGTGTAAGGGAGATAAATCAAATTCATCATTGAAATTATCTCCCTTACACTGCTTTTAAATTATGTATAAAGTAATGGTTAATGAACAATAAAGATAATTTAAAACAGTGTAAGGGAGGTAATCCAAATACAACGTTTTGGTTACTTCCCTTACACTGCTTTTAAATTATGTTTAAAGAAATGCATATTTATAAAGGAAGACCAGTAAAAATATCTGCAAATGTTTTCATCTTTTTTTTTTACAAAAAAATCCATATGAAAGATTTGACACTATATTTTTATTAATTCTATTATAAAATAGATTAAGTTAGCACTATGGTAAATTTAAATGGGTAATTATGGTTGCCAACTCCATTGGAAATTTGAATTGAGATTATGACCATATCTTGAGGGAAAGAATTTTTTTGGGGGAAAAAGGGGGTGGGGGATAAAAAGAAATTGTGGGGGGCCAATTTTTTCTCATTTCAGATTTCAGAAATTAAAAAGAATTATTCTTCAAATATTATTTTTTTTTCAAATTTCAAATATTGAAAAATTTCAAGAAGTAATCTTTAATTGCACAGTATGGCGCATTAGATTTGTAAAATCTTTGATCACATTTATTTATTTGTTATGCCGAATCTAACAGTGTATTTAGATTTTTAATTTTGGGTCCAGTTTTCAAATTGGTCTACATTAATGTCCAAAGGGTCCAAAATGAAACTTTGTTTGATTTTAGCAAAAATTGAATATATGAGGTTCTTTGATATGCTGAATCTAAACATGTATTTAGATTTTTGATTTTTGGCCCAGTTTTCAAGTTGGTCCAAATTGGGGTCCAAAATTAAACTTTGTTTGATTTCAACAAAAATTGAATATATGGGGTTCTTTGATATGCTGAATCGTACCATGTATTTAGATTTTTTATTTGTGGGCCCGCTATCAAATTGGTTCATATTGAGGTCAAAAGGGTCCAAAATTAAACTTTGTTTGATTTCATCAAAAATTTAATTATTGGGGTTCTTTGATATGCCAAATCTAACCGTGTATTTAGATTTTTAATTTTGGGTCCCGTTTTTTTTAAATTGGTCTACATTAAGGTCCAAAGGGTCCAAAATTAAACTTAGTTTGATTTTAACAAAAATTGAATTTTTGGGGTTCTTTGATATGCTGAATCTAAACATGTGTTTAGATTTTTGATTATGGGACCAGTTTTCAAGTTGTTCCAAGTTGGGGTCCAAAATTAAACTTTGTTTGATTTCAACAAAAATTGAATATATGGGGTTCTTTGATATGCTGAATCTAAACATGTATTTAGATTTTAGGTTTTTGGCCCAGTTTTCAAGTTGGTCCAAATTGGGGTCCAAAATTAAACTTTGTTTGATTTCAACAAAAATTGAATATATGAGGTTCTTTGATATGCTGAATCTAACCATGTATTTAGATTTTTTATTTGTAGGCCCCACTATCAAATTGGTTCATATTGAGGTCAAAAGGGTCCAAAATTAAACTTTGTTTGATTTCATCGAAAATTGAATTATTGGGGTTCTTTGATATGCCAAATCTAACCGTGTTTTTAGATTTTTAATTTGGGTCCCGTTTTTTAAATTGGTCTTCATTGAGGTCCAAAGGGTCCAAAATTAAACTTAGTTTCATTTTAACAAAAATTGAATTCTTGGGGTTCTTTGATATGCTGAATCTAAACATGTGTTTAGATTTTTGATTATGGGCCCAGTTTTCAAGTTGGTCCAAGTTGGGGTCCAAAATTATACTTTTTTTGATGTCAACAAAAATTGAATATATGGGGTTCTTTGATATGCTGAATCTAACCATGAATTTAGATTTTTTATTTGTGGGCCCCGCTATCAAATTGGTTCATATTGAGGTCAAAAGGGTCCAAAATTAAACTTTGTTTGATTTCATCAAAAATTGAATTATTGGGGTTCTTTGATATTCCAAATCTAACCGTGTATTTAGATTTTTAATTTTAGGTCCCGTTTTTTAAATTGGTCTTCATTGAGGTCCAAAGGGTCCAAAATTAAACTTAGTTTGATTTTAGCAAAAATTGAATTCTTGGGGTTCTTTGATATGCTGAATCTAAACATGTGTTTAGATTTTTGATTATGGGCCCAGTTTTCAAGTTTGTCCAAGTTGGGGTCCAAAATTAAACTTTGTTTGATTTTAACAAAAATTGAATATATGGAGTTCTTTGATATGCTGAATCTAACCATGTATTTTGATTTTGGACATTGGACCATAATAGGTAAATTAAAAAAATTCAAGTTCTTAGACCACATACTTTCTGTGTCAGAAACCTATGCTGTGTCAAATATTTAATAACAATCCAAATTCAGAGCTGTATCAAGCTTGAATGTTGTGTCCATACTTGCCCCAACTGTTCAGGGTTCGACCTCTGCGGTCGTATCAAGCTGCGCCCCAGCGAAGCATTTTATTAAATATTAATATAATATTCTTCAATTTGAAAAAAAAAAATATATTCATATCATAAAAACCTTTAAGGACAGCTCATAATCAAGATGAGCCTGACATCTTAAAATTACCATATCTAAAATTACAAAAAAGTAGACAACAAGACAATACAATAACAATTCAACTGTACCATGATTGTGGTTAACAAGTACAAAACATAAACAAAAATATCCGATTTACCCTGATCAACATTCAAATTATAAAAAAACTTTTCAAAGTACAACACGAAACAACAGCAATTTTTAATGTGTTTTCCCTGTCTCTTTAAGCTTGGACATATAATATAAAATGGCAGATACCTGACTGAAAAAAAACAGGCAGAAATTTCACAAAAAGGGAAAAATTGTATTAAAATCAAACAAAATATAACAAGGTGAAAAATTTGGGATCTACCCTATATCTAAAACTTTTACAGGTTACATGTAAACTTTCAACATACACAAGGTAAGAGAATTTTATAGAGAATATAAGGGGGAAATGCATCAACATTTGATGGAAAGTAAAAATTTCATTTCAATACAAAAATATGTACTAATGAAAACACTGTTTTTGTCTCCTTTAGACCATTTTCAGAAACAGTTGAAGCATACACTCCAAAATCTTAAAAAAAAAGGCTAAATTTTGTGCAAAGAAACATATTAAATCTGATAAAGTTCTGTCACATATAAATTATATCAAGTTATTGTGAAAATACATTGTGTCTACAGACAACAACAACATACCCCTACTTCTTCCTGAATTTGCTATAAGAAATGGACAAAACTTTCACTTATGATTCCTTTGCAGAATAAATAATTTTAATACTTTAAGTAACTTACTTGTATTGATGTATAGTTGATAATTTCTAATTAAAAAATCGAACAATTTACATTTTTGCCTGGGGTGTGAAGCAGCTTCACCTTTTTACTTTTAGAATACTAATCAGTATAAAATAAGGATATATGGTATGATTACTAATGTGACAACTATCCACCAGAGACCAAATGATGTAGATGTCAGCAATTATAAGTCACTGTACAGCGATAAACAATGATAATATCCATACAGCATCGCCAGCTATGAAAGGCCCCACCATAACAAAACGTAAATCAAAAGAAAAACCAATGGCCTGATTAATGTACAAAAAAATCAAAAGAAAAACAAGTATTATATAAAGGAACAAACAACAACCACTGAATTACAGGCTCCTGACTTGGGACAGGCACATACATAATGTGGCAGGGTTAAGCATGTTATGTACATATCATATATATACTTACAATTATAGAATTTCAATTTCAGCCACAGGATACTTTTTAAAATCATAGGATTTACATATCAAGGGAGAGGTTCAAATGAACTTTTGTGAAAACAAAATTATTTTAGTATAAAGCTTTCAGTAATCAAAAACAAATGAGAAAAAGATTGATTGGCCCATGTTCACAAAAAAACATGAGTTGGCCCTTAACAGACCCTGTACAGGAAAAAACATGTGCTGACCCCCAACAGACTCTGTACAGGAAAAAACATGAGCTGACCCCCAACAGACTCTGTACAGGAAAAAACATGGGTTGGCCCCCAACTGACTCTGTATATAAAAATTTAAGAAATATGTAGACTTAGTAGGCATAAACATTTCAGAACTGTTCCAATAACTATCTAAGAAAAGAAATGGTACCTAACAAAAATAAACAGGCATATCTGGATTTCAACTAGATTTCTATTGCACTTTATGTGATTAATGTTATGACTAGATGTTTTATAACCATACTACAAGTTTTGCATATACATGTACGTCCATTGATAATACGGCAACATATTAATTTTTTTCTTAAAATATGTGGGTATAAGTAATGTATCAAATGTAGGTCACATGGTATTTTATCTTACCAAATAAGAGCCAGTATATATGGAGAGTAAGACACAGTGACCTAGTTATGTTTAGTAGATACACTACCAGTGGTACAAGTCTGCATCATCCAATGCTCTACAAAATCAAATGAATGATACACCAGTACTGCATTTAAATACTTAATAAAACTTTAAATGCATTTAACTGGCTTATAAAAATGATACAGTAAATGAAAGCTTCAATCAAATGTGTTGTATTAGTAACCTAGGTCCATATAGTAGATCTTTGCTTCAATAAAATGTGTTTCATAGTAACTTATATCCATATAGTAGATCTTAAAAATTATTTGGGATAAAACTATCTTCTGAAAATAAATACATATATCATACACAAGAAAGGCACTTATGTTTATAAAAGAAAGTCATCATATTTTGAAAAATCATCTACAAGTAACTAAAATAATAAATCTTGAAGAAAATATCCATTTCATAAAATGACAATTGCAGATATCTATGTTGAGCAAAAATTAATTTTTTACCTTCATGAGCAAATTATGACTGTCAAAGAATGAATTATGTATTACTTTGAACAATACAGGTTGTTATAAAATTTTGCTTTACATTATTAGCAGTATTTATTATAAAATCCATAACATTGCCTGAATTTATGCATGCTGTTAGATTCCAAAATTATTTAAACATAAACCTGATTGAAGAAAAATCATATAACTGGTTTACTGCACAATCTAGTATGTAAAGATAATCTAAAATAATGTATGTTTTGAGTTTGAAACAAAAAAATCAAGATAATTTCATAAAGCACTTACTAAATTAATTTTCATTTCATGTTTAGTAATTCTGAATGTTGTTTAAAGAATGTTTTTCCATAGAACACAATGCCCCACGTGCATTATCACATTTCCATGTTGAGCCAACTGTGAAAATCGATCAAAATCCTTATTTGGCATGTACAGGTATCTTTAAAAGTCTATATCATAATCAACATGTGTACAAAGTTTAAAGTTTAAAGTTGCTGTGACCACAACTTCATGGTAAATTACCTTAAACCAAACCTGACAAACCAACAAAAGAAAGAAAAAAAGGAAACACTTACGGTGGGATCATATAACTGACCTAAAATCTTAAAGTAAATAGAATGATTGATAACCCCAAAAACTGATGACCAAAATATCTGACAATATTACAATTCATCTTTTCCTTTTTTCTTCTTTTTCTTTGATAAAAACTGCTGATACTTGTGCATTTTAGCCAGATCATCCTGTTTATCATCTGTGACTTTGATCCAGAAATTAGCCACCCATTTTTCACCTTTCTTCACAGGACATCCTCCATGGTAAGTATGTTCATCCTTTTCTCCTAACCACCCAGATTTTGGATCAACAAAATGATTGTACCAGATTATTGCCTTTCCTTTTTCAGCTGTCACTTTCAGTCCTGGTGATCCACATTTTTCATTTAGGTTATACAATGCTTGCTTGGTAATTTCCTGGAAAAATAACTTAAATTTGAAAAATAATATCTAATTTACTATAAACAAGCATTCTGTGAGTATTGCATGGCAATACATAGTCTCCTACTGGTTGAAAATTCATTGTAATGGAACGAAATTCTAACTTGATCTATAACTTGTCATGGTGTAAACTGCATAAAAATATCAAGTCAAAATCTTCAAGCATGACGAAAAAAACTGTTGAAAACTGATTATTTAAGTGAATTTTCTATGTCCAAAGACCATAACTCTGTACAAAATCATCAGACTGTAACAAAATTCCAACTTGATCTGTAAATTGTCATGATAAAACTATATACTAATTATCAAATCAATATCTTCAAGAATGACAAACAAACTTCCACTAAATTCTTCAAACAATTTACCAAAGACAAGGAAAAAAATCCAAAATGTCATTTTGTCTTTTAAATTTTGTTTTTTTTTAAACGAGTTATTTCCTTTTGAACAGAAATCTACTAATTAATAAGTATTTCATCAAAAATTTAATTCCAGGGAAAGGGCTTTAACTGAACAAAGAGAAAAGCTAAAATCGTGAAAATTGAACTTGACCTGTAACTTGTCATGATAAAACAATAAACCAAATATCAAATCAATATCTTCAAGCACAAAGAAAAAAAGTGTGGAAAACTGATTTGCCAGACTGACAGATGGACAGACGGACAGAGTGCAAACCTAAAGTCCCCTTCGCCTTCATCAGTAGGGGACTAATAAATCAGATAATAATGTTGACAAATAAAATGAAATAAATTCTTGACAAAATACTGAGGTGAAACAAATTCTATTTTTTACTGGATTTCTTTTGTATTGTAAACAAAAACATGTTCTAATTTCAATAAAACAGGGGCATGGGCTTCATTCAAAAATGAAATTGTAACATTAGTTTATTTTGAATGATGCTGGAGATCAAAATGAATATCTCTTGGGAGTTGCTGATCAAAAGAATCTTTTTAAAAATAAGCCTTTTTGTATTTGCACACTTATAAATCTTTTCCAGAATTTTTTTACCTCACCAAATTTAAAGCTGCCTTTCCAATTCTAATGACTTCTTTTTTTTTTTTTTTTTTTTAATCAAAGAAGTATTGCATACTGATAGAACAAATAAGAATTTTATCAGGATTAAAAAAAATAGTTGAGTTATTGACACAACACATAGCCCAATGCAACAAAGTTCAAATGTAAAATGACATTTAGTATTAAAAATAGAAAAGCTATAAAAAATACATAAAGAATCTACCCCTATATCAACTGTATCATTGTTTGCAACAGGGAAAGCTGTGCCACCACCATCTTCGACATCATTCAGATAGAAAAATATTGTCATGTATCTAAAAATAAATTATCCATAAAAAATAGTTACATATGTCAAATTTCATTTAAAAAATAAATTATCCATGGTAATAGTTACATAAATCAAATTTCATCTAAAAAGTAAAATCTGAAGCTTTGAATAGAGAAAATGCCATGCTCTCTGCATGTCAAATCTTTCAAAGGTTCATCAATTGTCTATTACAAGAAAAAATTCAGACCCTTTCAAACATACTCTCTCTTTCAACTCAATTTGTAGAACCTAACTATTGGATTTATTGTGTATTTGTTAATATGCATGAAATATTTGCCACTGGACATTGAAAATAAGAATCTATCAATTTCATCAACCTTATTCACAACAAGTTGTTTCTGTTGAACTACTAGAATGCTTTGGGGTATTTAAACATATTTTTTGTTTAAAGCAAGAAAAATTTAAGTAGATTAAAGCTCAAGTTTGTCCCTATAATTTAGAGAGCCTTTACCTGCAAATTCTACAATTATTCTTTCTAACTTTATCGCAACATGGTGTTGCTTTGTCTAGCCCAGACGAATCCCAATGTGCATGATAATGACCTTTTATGTCATAGTTCACAACCTAAAATTATAATTAAAAAAATATATGTAGAATAGCATGAAACTACAATGAAAGATGTATTACAGGCGTTTTGTCCATGTTGAACTAAAATCAAAACAGCTTTCACAGTTATTATTCTAAAACGTTATATATTTCCATTAATATCATTTTGTGCTTTCCGCAGGGCAAAACAATTATTTTATCTTTCATGTCACCATATATAGTTTTATGATGTTTAAATTTAAGTATATCAAGTATATTTTTGAGTTTTTAAAACATAGCTGTTTGTACATAGTACAGAAACAATGTGTTAAAATGGTGTTGATATATTAGGTGGGCGGAGCTAATAATTCTATAATCTTGGGTTGTTTTCATACAAATTGGGAACTAATGACAAGAAAACGATTCGACCTTCAGCCAATAAAAGATCAGCACTTGTATGAATTGAACACCTATCTTAAACATTTATAATTAAACTGAGGGTAACAGAGAATCTTATATCTTACCTGGAAATCACTTAGTTTCAATAACTCAACAGGTAAATCAACCAAAGTAGAGGCTCTGAAATATAAAACATTGTGACTGTGGATGACAGTTTCCATTTGGTTTGTAAATTGTATGTAACAAATGAAAAGAATGTATACACTTAGGATTATATGGAAAATATATGGGATTTTCTCGCTGTTTTGAAGACCCATTGGTGGCCTTGGGCTGTTTTCTGCACTTTGGACGGGTTGTTGTCTCTTTGACACATTTCCAATTTTATATGTCATAATTATATACATATTGTATCACATATTCTAACAACTTGGATGTTATGTGTAAAATGTTGTAGTGTTCGGTAAACAGGAAGTTATTGAGTGATGAATCTGAAAACGCATCACACGGTATAGCTGACTTATATAAACCCTGAAACCAAATTATATATCTTCCATATAACTGATATGACTAAACGGCAGTTTGAATCATCTTAATATCGATTTACTAACTCTGTAATAATAATCAGAAACACAACTATAATGCTATCAGCTCTCAAATTCAAGGGCCCATTGCCATTTATCAGCCCTCATAATCCTCCAGTTAACTTCAAAATGAATAATAATAAAAAAACAAACAATTTATGACAATGCTTTTAAAGAATAATATCTTGGTTTTATATTCTACTAGCAGTTCTGCTCTGCAGGTTAATTTGTATTATGGAGTTATTGCAAAGCTTTTTATTAAACACACTATTTCCAACCCCACTTAATTGAATGTCAACTGATGCATGAATTTATTGGGAGTCTTACCTGTTTATAATTCTGTTAAACACTTCATCATCAGAGGTATCTGGTTTAAGCCATACTTGTCTACTGTAACGGGAATGTTTCTCTGGATGTGTCTTTAAAAAGGTATTCAAATAAAGCTCAAAATGCTTTGGGGAAAAGCTTGACATTTCCGATTGTGTTATGTATTCTATAAAAGAAAAGTAAAATAATATCATTTGGAAAGGGAAAAAAAATATATACCCAACTTAAAAAAATTATTAAAAATATTTTTATATTCATTTATGAAAAAAAAGTATATTGAGTACAGTTCTGACGGCTACAAAATATTGTAACAGTACCGGTATGTGTATTAATGATGAAATCTTTCCAGCTGAAAAGAATATCATTGGACAATTAGAAAACACTAAACAATGTAATTCCAAACCCAATCCACCCAATGAATTGAATAAAAATGTAATAGAATTCACTAGAGCTTCTTTTTTTTTATCATTAATAAAAAACTAATAACTTTAAACATGTTTGCTTTTATAAACATCACAAGGAAATCAAAAAAGAAAATCTATGGGTCAAGTATCATACAATGTTCAATGCAGTTTCTCATAGTTAATTCTGAGATGATGTAAGAAAGATCTGGAGACACATGATGTAAATGTTGTTTAGTTTCCGAAACTTCCTTTTTAATGAAATTTATGAATTATATCATGGATGACAAAATTACAAGCCTTATAGTTATCATCTAAATAATGAACTTCACATTCTACCTGTTTTACAGCCTTGTGCAAATACATTTCAAATTTTCAGACAATGTATAATAGTTATTCTATATATTTACAAACCATCATTGTCCTTGTCTATCTTTATTTCTTTGTACCTGTAATTAAAAAATTATTTACAGTCAAGTTACAGATCAAAATTGATTCAAAAGATAACGGCTGTAGTGAGAAAAAACGTTGATTTAAAATTTAGACCTGTGATAATAAAAAAAACTAAATAATGAGTTTTGTCAATTCAAAATGTATAGTCTTAGTCTTGTTGGTTGATACAGTTAAGTCTAAGTCTTGTTGGTTGATACAGTTTAGTCTTAGTCTTGTTGGTTGATACAGTTAAGTCTTAGTCTTGTTGGTTGATACAGTTTAGTCTTAGTCTTGTTGGTTGATACAGTTAAGGCTTAGTCTTGTTGGTTGATACAGTTAAGTCTTAGTCTTGTTGGTTGATACAGTTAAGTCTAAGTCTTGTTGGTTGATACAGTTCAGTCTTGTTCTTGTTGGTTGATACAGTTAAGTCTTAGTCTTGTTGGTTGATACAGTTAAGTCTAAGTCTTGTTGGTTGATACAGTTAAGTCTTAGTCTTGTTGGTTGATACAGTTAAGTCTTAGTCTTGTTGGTTGATACAGTTTAGTCTTAGTCTTGTTGGTTGATACAGTTAAGTCTTAGTCTTGTTGGTTGATACAGTTAAGGCTTAGTCTTGTTGGTTGATACAGTTAAGGCTTAGTACAGTTAAGTCTTAGTCTTGTTGGTTGATACAGTTAAGTCTTAGTCTTGTTGGTTGATACAGTTAAGTCTAAGTCTTGTTGGTTGATACAGTTAAGTCTAAGTCTTGTTGGTTGATACAGTTCAGTCTTAGTCTTGTTGGTTGATACAGTTAAGGCTAAGTCTTGTTGGTTGATACAGTTAAGTCTAAGTCTTGTTGGTTGATACAGTTAAGGCTTAGTCTTGTTGGTTGATACAGTTAAGTCTTAGTCTTGTTGGTTGATACAGTTAAGTCTAAGTCTTGTTGGTTGATACAGTTTAGTCTTAGTCTTGTTGGTTGATACAGTTAAGTCTAAGTCTTGTTGGTTGATACAGTTGAGTCTTAGTCTTGTTGGTTGATACAGTTAAGTCTAAGTCTTGTTGGTTGATACAGTTAAGTCTAAGCCTTGTTGGTTGATACAGTTGAGTCTTAGTCTTGTTGGTTGATACAGTTGAGTCTTGTTCTTGTTGGTTGATACAGTTTAGTCTTAGTCTTGTTGGTTGATACAGTTGAGTCTTGTTCTTGTTGGTTGATACAGTTGAGTCTTAGTCTTGTTGGTTGATACAGTTAAGTCTAAGTCTTGTTGGTTGATACAGTTAAGTCTAAGCCTTGTTGGTTGATACAGTTGAGTCTTAGTCTTGTTGGTTGATACAGTTAAGGCTTAGTCTTGTTGGTTGATACAGTTAAGTCTTAGTCTTGTTGTTGTTAAGTCTTAGTCTTGTTGGTTGATACCGTTTAGTCTTGTTCTTGTTGGTTGATACATCTAAGTCTTAGTCTTGTTGGTTGATACAGTTAAGTCTTAGTCTTGTTGGTTGATACAGTTAAGAGTTTGATTTTGTCAGGTTTTATGGACTTCCTACTTTTTCAATTTTCCTTGGCGTTTGACAGTATTTTTGCATAATAATAATTTGACAGTATTTTTGCATAATAATAATTTGACAGTATTTTTGCATAATAATAATTTGACAGTATTTTTGCATAATAATAATTTGGCAGTATTTTTGCATAATAAGAATTTGACAGTATTTTTGCATAATAAGAATTTGACAGTATTTTTGCATAATAAGAATTTGACAGTATTTTTGCATAATAAGAATTTGACAGTATTTTTGCATAATAAGAATTGATGTCCAAATGATATAAGTTATTATAACTTTTGAGAAATGGAAAACCCCTACTGATTTTGAAATTGACATAAAATCTTTAAAATATTTGGATACAGAATTCCAAAAGAATGAAAAAAATACCAAAATTTTTGCATATGGACTTTTTTGGCTGTGGTTAACTATTAATGCAAAGAGTGATGTCATGGATCCATCCATAAAATGCTAGTATTGATTTTTTCTACTTACATTTGTAAGATGTCTTCTTTATTTAAGTGTACATCAAAACCACCCATCAATGTTAACTTCATCTGTAAACAGAATGAAAATATTTACTAAAGTGTAAATTATTCTGTGAATTCAACCGAAAAAGGAAAAACAGTTAAAAGCTAGATTTGCTATACATGTACTTATTAAAGTTAGAATTGCAAGAGATGTATAATATATATATCAGACTCGGAAAAAACAACTGAACACACTTGTATTTTGTTCCTCATATAGCTTACCTACTGGGTCTTATATTCTAAAATCTCTTATGTTTAAATGTTTAAATGTTTAAACGTAAATGTAAATGTAAATGAAAATTATAATATATTTTAGTTGTAAAGTTCAACCAACAGCCGTGGCTAACTTTAAAAACAGCATGTAGTAGTGAGCATATTAGTCATCATGACTTTCTTGTTGTTTTTTGTCTTTGTTTGTACATCTAATTTTTTTCTAGTAGTGCAATGTTGTTCGTTCATGTGGTTTTTTGTACTGTCCAATATTTCTGGCAATTCCTTTTATCCTTTTTATGTATTACTAAAATAGCTTTTTACTCTATTTCACATCTTAACTCACTCAAAAAATATATGTGAGACATACATTACAATACTAGAATAAGGCCAATAACAATTGTAGTCCACATGAAATTTTATTAGTCCAAGGGCAATTAACTCTTATTAAATTCCGGTACAAAATAAAAAGATGATTAAAAACCAAGGCACCTATCCATGGTTTCAAATCATATTATTTGACACAGTACAATTTAATAAAAACTAGTAGGGAAAGTTAAAAAATGAGTAATTTCCCTTTGAACAGAAATCTAGTAATTAATAAGTATTTCATCAAAAATTTAATTCTAGGGAAAGGGCTTTAACCGAACAAGGAGAAAAGCTAAAATCGTGAAAATCGAACTTGACCTGTAACTTGTCATGATAAAACAATACACAAAATATCAAATCAATATCTTCAAGCATGAAGAAAAAAAGTCTGGAAAACTGATTTGCTGGACTGACGGATGGACGGACAGACAGACGGACAGAGTGCAAACCTAAAGTCCCATTCGACTTCGTTGGTAGGGGACTAAAAACAGGAGATCAATATCTTCAGAAATCTTTATAAAAAAAATTAAGAATAACTACTTGGAATGATTCTTTTTAAGACCAAAGGTTCTAAAATTGTCAGTAATAGGCTAAAGAACAAGAAAGCTCTTATCAATCAAAGTATGGATATCTTTGTTATAAATCTTGATTAAAAATTCACAACACGTGAAGGATGGGAGAAAGCAAAACTCCATATAAGGCCATTTTAAACTAAAACATTAATGAAAATTAAGGATATCTGGCTCAGATTTTCTTCTTTCATAGCATGTTATTCTAAAACAGGTATCTTTCATGGCATGTTATTCTAAAACAGGTATCTTTCATGGCATGTTATTCTAAAACAGGTAAAGCCTATCCATGTTTCTGTCATTAAGTTTGAAATGATTCTTATTAGAAATATTTTTGTAATGAAGTATCATATTAATCAGACATCCTAATTGTAAAGATTTGTTTAAAGTCTCATAAAGTAGTCAAAAACACTACTTCACATTAGTAATTGGTAAATAAAGAAAACAACCTATATGCTTAACCTCAACACACTTTTAGTGCCTGACTTAAGTAATGAGATTGTAGTCCAACATTTGTTTTTCATAGGTGTATACTTTTTGTACCCATTGTATTTGATTAATGTTAATCACTAATATTAAGCAGTTAGTTGTGTTTTCACTTTTTTGCTATTCATGCGGCCTTTTATAACTTTAATACTCTGCGCTATGGGCTTTAATCATCATTGAAGGCTATGGCCTTTAGATGTTTTCACTCTTGTTTTTTTGGTAATCTTGCAGACATTTGTCATATTTGCCATCTTACCGCGCCTTCTTATTTTTATATTAAATGTTTAGTATACAACATGTACCTCCTCTAGACTAAGTCTTTTGTCATTGTCTTTATCTTGTAAGATAAATCTGTTACTTTTGTCCCAGTTATGTGTTTCGCTAGACTGCAAGCCTTCTTCTGTTGCCATTTCTTTCAGATGTTTGCATTCCTTTTTGGTGAGAAAATTTGAAATTTCTGTAAATAATTTAAGAATAAAAGACAATGTTATTAAAGGTTAACACAATCTTCCAATGATTGTTAGGACAATTTTTAATAAAGAATTGGCAAAGACATTTGGATTACCAAATGATTTAAGATAATAAAACATACTAAAAAAATCCAACCACCAATAAACTTATACATCTATAGCCCCTTTTTGTGTTTTTTTTTTGTGTTTAATTTTTTCACTACTTTAAGAGATTTAGGACAATTTTAAAAGAGCTTGACATATTGTATTGTTTGACGACTGTATGTTGCCCTCTGGATGTATTTACTGTTACTTATGTTATTGGGTTGCTGTCTTATTGACATATACCCCACATCTCCTTTCATAGATATACATGGAGGGGAAAACAACTGCCAAATCTATAGTTGCAGTAATATGAATTCATAATAAACCTTGTAAATTTATTACCTAATATCAAAGGCGTCAGACTTAGGGTTTTCATTTCTAGTTTTCTTCCATCTTCAGTTTTGATGCTCTGTATATGACCTGACTGAAAAGTACCAAATATTAATAAGTTATGTAATGTCACACAAATGTATTCATAATATCATAATAAGACCTTTACAAACTACTTAAAATATACTTATAGGTGTAAATTCTCAAGACATGGAACCTCCCAATATATTAAACACGGTCTTCCAAGAAAAATAACCAAATTGTTTTAAGCAATTTTGGCAATCTTCCTCTGAAGACCAGTCTCATGATATGAGAGTCAAAAATCCAGCAATGGAGAAAATATCTCCCAATTTATCTCACTTTGCCCATTATTTCACTTTTAGAATTTGTTTTTCAAAACATTGTTTTTACACAATATAGAGTGCCAGAACAACCTGACATGTTGTCATGGCTTACTACTTAGTTATTAATATATGATTAAAGACTTATATGACCAGGCTGAGGTGTCATCACTTTTGCTTGGTACTCAAATGATTTAATCCCGTCATGCAATATTCTATGATAACTTAGGCTATAGTATAATTACAATACATTAGGTAGGGTAGCTGATATGAAAGTCATTACAAATGTGAATATAAAGATAACAGAAGAAATTGACATATAAAACTGATGCAGTTGTAGTGTTGATGAAGCTCTGAGCAACTGAAGTCCAGTAAGTAACTAAAATAAGAGGCAAATTTAGCAAAAGGAGTTTGTGAAGAAACAAACGACAGTACTGTTAAAGCTTAGCTTTTGGAGATGGCTCCTGTTGAGTTAAACCAAGTCCATATGGTTTAGGACAGTAACATACTCTACAAGTAAGCTAAGTCCATGTGTATAGAGACAGTAACAATATATTCAAGTAAGATAGGTCCATGTGAATTAGAACAGTATACTATTTTACAAGTCTGAAAAGACCTGTGGATAAAAAGGTTTCATAAGTTGCTTGCAAACCTTGAGGAAATGTGTATAGTCCTGTTACATACTGCATATTGACATTAAAGAGATAATTTTCTAAAATAATATCCCATTAAGAAAAAATTGCATAGAGTCATGAAAGAAAGAAATTTGTTTAGTTTTGTTGTATCAAAATCAGCTGTGAGCTCTGGATAGTTTTGTACAACTATAGGACTTTGATTTCAGCTGGAACTGGCAAATCCATTACAGATGCCACTATTAAATCAAAGAAAACAGCTGTGAATTCCAAATCTCAATAGGGATTCATACCTGATAACTTTTCACCATTTTAATGGAGGATTTTCAGCACAAGAGGTCACTTACTGCATCTCTTTATGTCAAAAAAGTGTATTTCTAATATTATATAGTTTTTAATGAGTATATTTGTGCTAATGTGTCATTTTCACTCCTTTTAATACCTGTTTTAGGTTTTTAGTTTGTAGTGGTGATGGATTTCAAGGCTCCGCTTGTCACAATCTCTTATGTTCGAAATCAACCACGAACTTGGAAATTTCAAGTCTTAGGATTTAATTGTATTTAAAGCAGAACTCCAGTCCCCCTACTTAATTTAGAGCTGGTTTTCTGATGGATAACCAACTCAGAAAAACAGCTCTAGACACTATTAAACCAAATTGAAGACTTTCGAATTCATGCTTTTCCCAGTACATTTCCTACGTCACAATGCTTCTATTACTATGTACAGAATCAATGGTTCAATGACTTAATTGATGCTGATTGACTTCAGGTCAACCTGAGTAATAGGGCTCTTCATGGTTAGTTCGGCCATATTGGATAGGGGGCAGATTTTCATAATGGAGGTAAAAATGGTGTGAAAAATTCGGGAAAACCACATTAAAACAGAGCAGTTGCTTGGAAACATGCATAGGATTTCCTATACTTTCATACTATTTCCACCTCTTTCAAAAAAAATTTGCCCTCTATCCAATATGGCCGAACTAACCGTGAAGAGCCCTATTCGTTCATAAAAAACAACTCGAGATTGGTGTATAGTCATTATTATAACTAAATTCATCATGGTAAAGGACATATGATACAAAATTATTCCTATTGTGGAGAAGTTCATGTCAACAATTAACGGATACCATAGGGGCTTGTTTTTTTTTATTTACTTCCAGCATGCAACCTTTTGATCATGTTGAGTAAGGTGACCACTCCCCCTTTTTATGCTAACATATTTAACAGTACCTCGAGGCCGTCAAGTCTAGACAGTTTTATATTTGACAAGTTTTCGCATTTAACTTCATTATTTAGCGTTAAGCAATACTGCTTTTCATTTTCAGTGGAACTATAATCATAAATTTCGAAATAATTGGTGAATATTAAAACTGAAAGTAGAAACGTCTGCATCCTAAATTTTGCACTTATTATCCTCCACACAGGAGAGTACCGAAAAGCAAAAAGTCGGTCAGATTTCCGTGAGATTCATTGTATGACACTGATGACTTAGCTACCACGTAAGCATTTCATGCAGTGCCAAAATGGCAATTCAATTTGTTTAAGTTGTGTTTATCTGCTGATGTTATCCATCTTTGATATCTGGATGTAACAAGGTTTTTGGAAAAAAAACATCATCATTCAACATGGATACACGACAACTCGTCCCTTAGCAAACTCGTACTCGACCAACCTGTACCCTATTTTTACCAACTCGTTCTTCTACCAACTCGTACCTTAATAGGCTGTATCATAAATTCAATCAACCTTTTGTAGTTTATAATATTATTCTTTTAATGTTTTTTAACATGTCTTGTTTTGAATATGTGAACTCCAATCTCAAGTAATATTTTTAATGAATAAGTTACACCGGTTAACCTGGGGTCAGTCTGCATAAATGGCTTCATAGAACAATGGGTTCTTACTGTGACGTAATAGCATAAGCATTGTAACATAGGAATTGTACATGAAAGTGCTTGATTCCGAAAGTCGTCTATGCAGCATAAAAGTCTTTCATTGTGAAATAACGATTTCATCAGTGTTCTCCCTTGTTGGTAATTGAGAACATACGGAACATCTTCTCCAGCTTGAAAGATGCAAATTATGTGGAAAAAAGGTTTTTTGTACTGATTTTTGCATTGGACATGTGTTAATCAGGCATGGCTTTATATTATAGACACCTCACCTTAAAATCAGGGCATCCAAAATGTGATTATAAAATCATTTACAAATTACATTTCAAAGAATGATTATAAATAGTGCATTTGGTTAATCATCTCCAATTATAATCAGATGGTAGGTATATTAGTCTTAGTTTTAGTCTTAGATCATGCAGATGCATGATTTTTTTTTATTAGTTGTTATTTGCTTTGAACTAGCTGTCAGTAACTGCTAGTACTCTCAGATCTGTTCTTTGTGTCTTTTTTGTTGGAATAAATGGATTTATAAATACCCTGCCACGCCAGTCTGTTTTTGTAAGATGTTTTTCTGCTTTGTATTGATCCGATGAGTTAAGCCTTTTTCAACTGATTTTTATAGTTTGTTGTTATGTTGTGCTGGACACTACTGTCCCAGGTTAGGGGAGGGTTGAGCTCTCATAAACATGTTTAACCCCGTTACATTCTTTATGTGCCTGTCCCAAGTCAGGAGCTGTAGTTCAGTGGTTGTCGTTGGTACATGTCTGTCATATTTGTTTCTCATAAATTGTTTTGTTATAAATTGCACTGTTATTTTTATGCCCCACCTACAATAGTAGAAGGGGCATTATGTTTTCTGGTCTGTGCGTCCGTTCGTCCATCCGTCCGTCTGTCCCACTTCAGGTTAAAGTTTTTGGTCAAGGTAGTTTTTGATGAAGTTGAAGTCCAATCAACTTGAAACTTAGTACACATGTTGCCTTTGATATGATCTTTCTAATTTTAATGCCAAATTAGAGTTTTGACCCCAATTTCATGGTCCACTGAACATAAAAAATGAAAGTGTGAGTGGGGTATCCATGTACTATGGACACATTCTTGTTCTCATTTGAATTTTTTCTAATTTTTCATGTCAGGGCTTTTATAGCCAACTATTCCGTATGGGTTTTCTCATTGTCGAAGGTGGAATGGTTGCCCATAACTGCTTACATTTGAACTTTGGTGGATAGTTGTCTCATTGGCAATCATACCACATCTCCTTATTTTTATATAGATCATGTAGATTGGAAATTCTCACCTGTTTAAATACTGAAAATATTGACTGAAGATAGAAACTACTGTGGATTCATTATTATTCGTTGGATACCAATTTTCGTGGATTTCGTGGGTACAAGTGAACCACGAAATTAAATGTTCAACGAATGACATATTTTGTATAGGCTTGTACGCAGACTTTTGGTAAAACCACGAAATTAAATATCCACGAACATGCAAATTTTCCCTAATCCACGAAAATTGGTACCCACGAAAATAAATGAATCCACAGTAATATACAAATTAAGTACATTTCTAATTAACTTATAGGTGGCCATTATTGCCTTTTAGTACAGAAGGGGCGGATCCAAAACCTTTGTGACTGGGGGTGGGGTCACCATGAAAAATAAATACTCCAATCTCTTATCTTTCCTTTTTTTTTATCTATTCTCTTCTGTAAACGCATTCATACCTTTCAATAATTTATGTACATTTTTTTGTTTCAATTACCATATATGAATTTCATATATGGTAATTGAAACAAAAAAATGTACATAAAAATGCATATGTTATGAAGTAGACATTTTGGGCTTTGCTCATTGTTGAAGGCCATACGGTGACCTATAGTTGTTAATTTCTGTGTCATTTGGTCTCTTGTGGATAGTTGTCTCATTTGCAATCATCCTCTTATTTTATATTTGTAAGTCTTATAAAAATTACAAACACAATTTATTGGTTCAATATTTTGACAATGACCAATGGGAGGGTTCCATTGAAAGTAGGAGGAATAATATGGCATAAAGTTTAAAACTTAATCATTGTTCTTGTATGTTATTGAAAACATTGTTTTTGAATTAAACACACTTATAAAATATAAATGGTACATGTAGGACTGCCTAAGTCATTTTGCAGGAATGACCAGCAGCAAAATTGTTCTTGGATTTATCCTTGCATACTGTTTTCTACCTCCTTTGTTTCATTATGATTCAGTTTCAATCATCATTTTCTTGTAAATGTGAGTGTTTTGTTATAATATGTAGCTGCATTAGACATATCAATAGATAGCAACATTTTTGACACTAAAACATTTTCTTTTACCAAATTTTAGGTTTTAGGACACATTGGTAGTAAAAACAGTAAACAGAAAATACCATGAAATAAGCAGAAAAAAATTGTTTCTGGGGTTATAGGACTATCTCTGACCTTTATCTTTATTTGAGTAGATGTGATATGCTTGCCAATGAGACAACTACCCACATGAGTTCAAACGAGAAAAACTAATGGCCTAATTCAGTAATTTAGTAATTAAGTATATAAAGTTAGCTAATCCTTGTAATAGAAAAATTCAACAAGGACATGTCATAAAACTGTTCAGACTTTGTCAGCAATATTACCATGAAATACTGGTTTCAAAAATACTATTCTTTTGTGAACTAGTCAAATTTATGTAAAAAATGATGTATGGATATGATGCTTTTAGTGCATGATCAAGTCAAATTAATGGGGTCAAAGCATCATCAGTGTTTTGTTTCAAGTCTTTTTTAACCCCATATTAGTGTTGATGTTCCTTCATGAGTATGTAGCTTGTCAAATTATTTTTTCTTTTACAGTTGGAAAATGGTAAAATCTCTGTTTCAACAGGCTCTTGACTTTGTTGGTGATAACCAGAAAATATTTAAACTAGACAGCATAACAGGTAAGGCTGTTAAGGTTAATATTTGTTTATGCTGCGTGGTCAGTTTAGGTAAATATGTGCTAATCCTGTGGTCATACTTTTGAACAATTGAACACTGTTTATACTTCATTTGGAATGTTATTTTAATTAACCTGTGTTTATTCATATGAGGTAACAGAATCAAGAAAAAAAAGGAAGAAAAAAACCCAATAAAATTGTGAAAATTAAACAATAGCAAATTGAAAACAAAACAATAAAATGACAATTGTTCAGGATGCTAGGGAATTAGAAAATCATAGTAGTGAAGCCTTAATAAATAGAAATAAAAAGAACCAGATGTGCAGACTTGAGAATGTCTCAGCTTCAAAACAATCAATCATCCTGATAATAGATATTTTATTTGTTCTTACCTGAAATAAATCCCTCATATTACTGGCTTTGTTCCAGACCAACACACAGGGCCTGATTTTCAAAAGATATCCAACATGCAAGAAACTCCTAGCTATGGCCATTAGATATCATGACAGTATATTTCAGATACTTGTTATAAAGTTTTGAGCTATATAAAATATTAACTTACTGGTTTAGAATTTTTCATTAAGGTTTCTCATTAATAATTGTTTTGATGTTGTTTGTGAGATGCTTTGTTCTATTGAATTTTAGCACTTCCATGCCATGTTCAGGAGAAATTTTTACCATACCTGAGTGCACATGACCTGTACTTTTTATCAGAGCAGCAATCACATAATCTCAATGGTAAGTAGTACTCTGATGGTTATAAAATATTTTATCAGCTGGTAAATGATACATTGGCTTGGAATGTAAGTCAGAATCAAAATCAACAGGACATTTAACACTGGTATGTTAACTCTATGACTCTTTTATAGATTTACTTGTAGTAATGCAGTTCTATCTGAATAAAACTTCATGGGATATATTTCGATGTGACACCAACCAATAATTTAAAAAAAGATATCTAGAGTTCAATGATAGCTTAAGAGAAAGATTTATCAGCCACACAGACAAGGATTGCAGAAATCCTAAAATTTATGGTTTATTTCCATACATGTATAAGTATATGTTATTTTCCAGTGATAGTGATTTTACCTGTTTTTTTTTTAGTTGAAATGTTTTAAGTACCCCTGGACTTCTGTAAAATTTGTAATTTTCTTTACTAATTTCTAGAAATGATATTAACAACAATAGTTGATTAGCACTTAGTCTATGCAGGCTATTTGCGACTTTAGAATTAACAACTTGTTACTGTCTTTGTTCACAGTAAATGCTACTGTATTGGAACATACTAAAAATTGAGTACATGCTGTCACATTATATTTTTTAAGTATCAATCAGTCATTAAGAATATTTGATATTGTGTATATAAATTTTCATTTAATTGTAGCATTAATTTTAGACCAGATATGGAATCTTCATGTACAAAGAAGATGGTCCAGAGCACAGATTGTTATGAATATTTTCCATGAGGCAGGATTAAATGAGAATGCTAAGCTGGTCTATTTACAAAAATATTTTTTGGAGATTCTAAGTTATTGTTCAATCAACTTAAACACTGTTGGTAGGCATTTAAACTACATTTTCATTGTCAGTTAACTTTAAAACTGTTGGTAGGCATTTAAACTACACTGTTATTGTCAGTTAACATACACAATGTTGGTAGGCATTTAACCTACATGTATACTGTTATTGTCAGTTATGTTATTCACTGTTAGTAGGTATTTAAACTGCACTGTTATGGTCAGTTACTTAACACTGTAGATAGGCGTGATGCTGATGCTTTTCAGTGTATAGTACTACGTCCGTAACTATTTTACCTGTGTAGGTGTAACTGTATGTTACCTGGATTTACCTGGATTTACCTGGATTTGTACATCATTAAAAGTAAATGTTACCAATGATTCACTCAAGATCTTTATGAGATAATTTGACAAGAAAAGTTCACAGATGTAATGTCAGTATGATTTTTACCTTATTGTTGTTTTTTCAGATCCAATATCTCTATTCCACTGTCCTCTTCATAAGATGAATAGACCTTGGCCATCAGACGCAGTAGTGAAAGATCCTAATGACTTAACTTTACATAAGCAAGATTTAATGAAATACTCAAAATATGCTGAGACTTTAACTATTATTGGTACACAGTGTAGCTGGATATGTGGAAATATTCATATCTTGAATGCTTTAAAAAATGTAACTAAAATAGTGCAAATACAAGCTGTAAATGATAAATATTACGATAGTATCAAACATTTACTACACACCCTAATAAACCAAGGAAAGGTAACTCATGCTGTATTTTCAATGGTCAAATTGAATAGGGATAATTTAAGTGATTTAATGCAAATTTGTGCTGGCATACATTATGAAAATCGTAATGAAATTGCTGAAAAGACTAGAAGACAAAATGAACAGATAGAAAATGCCACTTTTGACAGTTTTGACAGATCAGAACATGAATTGGGCAAAGATCTGCCATCTACCTCATATAATATACCTGACGTTAACTTTGATACAAAAGAAACTGTTCAGATAGTAAATAAACCAGATTATTATCCAGAGCTGGATCAGTATTATGAGGACCTAGAGATAGGAATGGACAACACTTACAAACCTGATACCAGTAATGAAACTGATACCAGTTATGAAATTGATTTATTTGATGAAGCAGTTACACCAATACCTAGCAAAGATCCATCAATTTCAAGAGAATTTTATTGCCCAGATGGGTCATATATTTGTTTAAAAGGAGTTAAAACATTTGCTATGCTGAATACAAATTCACATTGTAAAGAAGATTTTGGAAATGTGTTGATTGAAGTTTTGCCACACTGGACATCTCTAACAAAATTTGCTATATTTGATACAGGTAAACTAGAATAAATAAAAAATAAGGAGTCATGGTATAATTGTCAATGAGACAGCTATTCACCAGAGAAAAAATGATGTAGATGTTTGAAATTATAGGATACCATACACCCTTTAACAATGCAAAATCCCTTATCACAAAGCAAGATATGAAAGGTGCTGACATAAATAAAAATGTAAAACAATTCAAACGAGGAAACCAACAGCCTGATGTTAAGTGATTTATGCACAAAACAATAAACGAAAAACAAATATGCTATACAGCAAGAAATGACAACTGAATTTCAGGCTCCTGACTGGGGACAGGCACAAATAGAATGTGGTGTGGGTAAACATGTTTGCTGGTGCCAAACCCTCCCAAAACCTGAGACAGCGGTGTAACACAAGTACATACTATAAAAATCAGTTGAAAAGGGCTTAACCCGTCCAACTGATACATACATAATCATCTTGGTCAAAAACATTTTTTATACGACTGCAAAATCGTATATTGGTATGACGTTGGCGTCATCGTCGTCATTGTCGTTGTCCGAAGACGCATTGGTTATCACACAAAAACTTTAGTTGAAGTGAATGAATCTCTATGAAATTTTACCATAAGGTTCAATACCACAAAAGGAAGGTTGGGATTGATTTTGGGGGTTATGGTACCAACACTGTTAAGGAATTAGGGGCCAAAAATAAGCATTTTTGTAACTTCCAGACAATAACTTGTGTGTTAGTTTATGGATCTCTGTGACATTGTACCACAAGGTTCCATATCACAAAGGGAATGCTGGGATTAATTTTTGGAGTAATTGCCTCAAAATTTTAGGAATTAGGGGCCAAAAAAGGGGCAAAAAAACAAGCATGTTTCTAGTTTCATGACAATAACTTGTGTGTAAGTGTATGGATCTTTCTGAAATTGTACTACAAGGTTCCATATCACAAAGGGAAAGCTGGAATTGAGTTTGGGGGTAATTGCCCAAAACGTTTAGGAATAAGGGGTCAAAAAGGGGCCAAAAATAAGCATTTTTCTAGTTTCCAGACAATAACTTGTGTTCAAGTGTATGGATCTCTCTGAAATTGTACTGAAAGGTACCATACCACAAAGGGAAGTCTGGGATTGATTTTGGGGGTAATTGCCTCAAAATTTTAGGAATTAAGGACCAAAAAGGGACAAAAAACAAGCATTTTTCTAGTTTCAGGACAATAACTTGTGTGTAAATGTATGGATCTTTATGAAGTTGTACTACAAGGTTCCATACTACAAAGGGAAAGCTGGGTTTGAGTTTGGGGGTAATTGCCCTAAACGTTTAGGACTTTGGGGCCAAAAATAAGCATTTTTCTAGTTTCTAGACAATAACTTGTGTGTAAGTGTATGGATCTCTCTGAAATTGTACTGCAAGGTACCATACCACAAGAGGAAGGCTGGGATTGAGTTTGGGGGTGATGAATCATAAGGGGGTTCAAAAAATTGGGGGGGGGGGGGGTTCCTTTTTTTTTCCCCCTTTTTTTCCTTTTTTTTTTTCTTTTAAAATTTTCCATTTTAAGTTGGTTATTTTTGATTTATATATAAAAGAAAATAATAATGATATGGTTTGATTTCATCAAAAATTGAAATATTGGGGTTCTTTCATATGCTGAATCTAACTGTGTATTTAGATTCTTAATTTTTGGTCCCGTTTTCAAATTGATCTACATTATGGTCGAAAGGGTCCAAAATTAAAGTTAGTTTAATTTTAACAAAAATTGAATTCTTAGGGTTCTTTGATATGCTGAATCTAACCGTGTATGTATTTAGATTTTGGATATTGGACCATAATAGGTAAATTAAAATTTTTTAAGTTCTTAGACCACATTCATTCTGTGTCAGAAACCTATGCTGTGTCAAATATTTAATCACAATCCAAATTCAGAGCTGTATCAAGCTTGAATGTTGTGTCCATACTTGCCCCAACTGTTCAGGGTTCGACCTCTGCGGTCGTATCAAGCTGCGCCTAGCGGAGCATTTTATATGCAGAATATCTTTTTGTGTAAAGCTCTTGCTCATATCTAAATATTAATGACAAGATATCTAAATGAGGCTATTTTGGCAGTTTTTGCTGTTTGCAAGAGGTTTGAAGCCCTTATGCCATTATGCAAGACAAATTCAGCATATAAATACTGATTTCCAACAGAATAATGTCTTATGAACATCTTAAAGATGTTATTTGGTAGATTTATAATACGAATAATGTATTTTTTTATTTTCTAATTGAAAGGTCCTAATAAGTGGCCTTATCATACCTTTCCACTCATGAATGAATCTAGATTCATAAATAGCTCATTTTTCATTGATTTGTTTTTTTTAATTATATTTTAATTTAGATTTCACTCATTGGTTGTCCTATATCTTGTTCCACTCTATTCTGCAATGCAAAGTACCAAAAGACCTCAGTTAGGACTGCTATAATTTTATACAAATATATCAAGCTTACAAGGGGTATTTGCCAAAAATACCGGTTGAGAGTTTCAATTTTCCAGAGCCGTTAGGCGAGGGAAATTTGTTTACCTTGAAACTGGTATTTTTGGCAAATACCACTTGTAAGCATGATATAATTGTTTAATTCCACCGAATGTTCTTTGTATCCATCTTCACCTCAGAAATGTTATTGCAATCAGGTAGTTTCCACTTGACTGTATAATTTTTCTGCAGCTGTGCTATTTGCGCAGTCAAATTGCATTGGCCGTATAATCATTTCTGATAATTGTTTATGCATAGTCAGTGACTGTATATATATCTCCGACGTTGACAATGCGTTTCCGTTGAATTTTATTTATGACGTCATTAAAAGTACAGGTTTGTTGAATTTTTACGTCATTCGCTACAAATTCAATAATGATGTTTTTTTCCTAAATATTTCATTTGGAACAGTTGTAGGAGTTGCATGTATAAGGATTAACCCTAAATTTGTCCTATTAGAATAAAAATAAAACCATTGGGTTATTTTTAGACATGGTATTCCCCATCTGCCATGGTATTTGCTAGCAAATACCCCGGCACATGGAATTCCCTAATGACAAATACACCGACAGAGAAAAAAAAATCTCAATACATAGAAATTGGTGAAAAATACCATGTCTCTCATCCAATCAAAATACAGCATTATGACATAAGGTGGAATTAAAATATATATTTATACTAAATGATATTGTGTCTCTAATTTTATCACTTGTTTTTATGCATTAAATACAGATGCCGAGTCAGAGGAGATGGTAAATCATATTGTGAAGAAACTTGAGGACCATCAGTTGACACATTTAGTTATAGACGATGCTAACCTTCACCAGACATTCTTTGAAAGATTACTTAATACATTCAGAACTCATTATAGGTATAGCAGCTAGCTTGGTTTAAGTTGTCTTAGTAATTTCTCTTTTTACTTTGATAGTTAATCACCATTTTTACTAACTTTTTATATGAGAACATGTTTAGAATAGTTTTCCTATTTAGCTCATCTAGATCAGTGTACAAATTAAGAATCTAGGATTTTTTGTAGCCTAAATGGCTACTTAAGATAAGAATCTAAATTCAACTGTAAAGCGGTATAGTTATAATAGAAAAACAAAGGATATGGGGTATCCATCCATGACACAAAATCAGTACATGCACAACAAAAAACACACAGAAAGCAACTATATATTGAAATCCTCAATTGACCCATATGAATGATATACATAAAAAATCAACTGCACCAACCATAGATTTGAATATAAACTACAAACTAACATTTTAAAAAAGGCAATACTATAAAAGCTTTCTGAAATTCATTTAACAATATAACCTATTGGAAAAGAAAAACTGTGTTAGTTTTTTAGGTCATTATTGAACCAGTCATGATTAATTCATTACATATGTAAAATAATTCTTTGATTTTTTCAGAATTTCCAACACAAAAAATATGTCACATAGACCATTAGAATTACTTGATTTCCAAGCATGCCTAAAGTCTCTTTCTGCAGGTGATCCTGTACCTTTTGAAGGTATGTTTATTGATCTGGGACAAATATTGTGCAATGTATTTGTTATTGTTTCTTGTTTTTTGGGTAAAGATTGCATGAAATGCAATCAAAACCCTATGGTACTGACTTGATATTTAAATCTTCCAAGGTTTATCACTACCTTTGATGGTTCAAATAAAAATAGTGCAGTGAATTGATCATTCTTTAGATCTTATCCAGCCAATGTCAAGCAATTTATTAATGATATGATATAATTAGATATTCAAGTTACAATATGATGTGTATTTGAATTACCATACTTGTCAAGAAAACTTTATTGAAAATTACATAAGTAATGCATGGTGTATGAATCTGTTATAAAAATAAGCTCAACTACAATGTACAATCATGAACAACGGAAGATAACTCCAGCTCAAATTTATAATTTGACTAACTAATTACAATTCAATGTTTTATTTTAATTTCACAAAATTGGAAAATGGAAGCAATCTTCACCCTTTCAGTGCTCACAAGCACTTTGATTGATATCATTTTGTTCACTCTGAATTTGACATGCACTTGACAACTTTAAATCCTGTAATTTTTCAACACATTGTCATAAATGTAAGAAAATTTGTCTTCTTCATGTCTATTAATTATGTAATTTAAAAAGGCCAGGTTTTTTAATTCGTTTGTAACAATTAGATTTATGATGGTATGATGTCGTCATCGTCTGCGTCGTCGTCCGAAGACACATTGGTTTCTGGACAATAACTTTAGTTTAAGTAAATGGATCTCTATGAAATTTTTTAAGAAGGTTTAATACCACAAAAGGAAGGTTGGGATTGATTTTAGGGATGATGGTCCCAACCGTTTAAGAATTAGGGGCCCAAAAGGGGCCCAAAACAAGCATTTTTCTAGTTTCAGGATAATAACTTGTGTATAAGTATTTCGATTGCTCTGAAATTGTACCACAATGTTTGATACCACAAGTAGAAGGTTGGGATTCATCTTAGGGGTTATGGGGCCAACAGTTTAGGAATTAAGGGCCAAAAAGTGGCCAAAAACAAGCATTTTTCTAGTTTCCAGACAATAACTTGTGTGTTAGTGTATGGATCTCTCTGACATTGTAACACAAGGTTCCATATCACAAAGGGAAGTCTAGGATTGAGTTTGGGGTTAATTGCCAAAAACATGTAGGAATTAGGGGCCAAAAAGGGCCAAAAAGAAGCATTTTTCTAGTTTCCAGACAATAACTTGTGTTCAAGTGTATGGATCTCTCTAAAATTGTACTCCAAGGTTCCATACTACAAAGGAAAGGCTGGGATTGAGTAATGGGGTTATTGCTCCAAGGAGGGTTTCAAAAAGTTGGGGGGGGGGGGGGATTTTTTTTCCAATTTTTTTAGGGGATTCATATTTTTTTTCTGAAAATTTTTCATATTTCAAATTTTTGAAAATTTTCAAGAAGAAATTTTCCATTGCACAGTATTGCACAATAGATTTGAAAGATCTTTGACCACATTTATTTTGTGTCAGAAACCTATATTATGTCAAAAATTTGATCACAATCCAAATTCAGACAGTATCAAGCTTGAATATTGTGTCCAAATTTGCCCCAACTGTTCAGGTTTGACCTCTGCGGTCGTATCAGGCTGCGCTCAGCGAAGCATTTTATTTTTATTTGAAAAGGTATGGTCCGTTGGTTTAAAAATAATGGGAGAAGAAAAAAAGATAGTATAAAACTTAAAATTGAATAACTTTACTGTTTATTTCAAATTTATTAACATGTCTTTGTTCATTTTTGTTACCTCAACTTACTGTCTTTCTCATTTGACGCATCTATGTTGACCATACCAATTGTCAATTTGTTCTTTTCCATAATATGCATGAAATATTTGCCACTGGAGGTTAAGCAAGCAACAATAAGTCAATTTGTCCATCCACTAGTGTATCCCATGAAATTTTCATAGCATTTTTCTCAGGAACTAACAGATTCCTGAAATTTGATATCAAAATGTTTAATCATCCGTTACTCATCAACTTCCTGTTAACTCAATACTTATATATTCTTATGCTTATGTGAGCATGCTTTACAGTTTACAGTCTCGTTAGCTTTCAGATCCATTGCTTATCAAAGTCCTATTTACAAAATACTTAATCGCAGTCCAACTCGTCTATACTATTAACAATACACATTTGACCTCAGAAGAATGATTTCTGTTGTCTGTATGCAATTTCCTCATATAACAGGGCAATGCTATTCTAAACTTTGGATGGGTGATAGCTGCCTTTGATAATCTGCCTGAAGAACTATAGGACACTATCAGTCCAAATTAAATGCAGAGCAATAAATTTAAAAAAAATACCAGCTGATATGAAAACATTCTTTTCTGAAACAATCCTGTGGGGATTTTTGCAGGAAAAAGTTGTAGCTAGTCTTTAATCCTGCTTTAGAAGACAGCAAAAACTTAACTCTTGAAGCAGAATATACTTAATCTCAAGTTATTTTTTCATATTTAGGACCCATTTGTGGAATACAGAGATTAGATCTGAGTATGACAACCATTCTAGATTCTGGATTTTCCCTGCTGTTGGAACATTTGAAGAATGATACAGCTCTTAAACACCTTAAATTAAATGGATGTTTCTTAAGAGAAGACCAAGTCCTGAAACTTTTATCAATCTTGTCAGGTAAGTTGTGATATCCTCAGTTTTGGTGTGACAACTTTTTCACATGGTATTAAGTTTTCTGCCCACTTTAAAAAATAAAGAAAAAACTGCATGTGCCACCATTTTTCAAGGGGTTTTGAAGGGGGAATTAAGCAACATAAAAATGGAAATAAATAGAAAAATTAAATTGAAAATTAAAAATTTCAGTGAAAAATAAGACCAAATAAAGCCCCTATGACAACTGTCCTGGAAAATGGAGAAATACGATAAATGAATATGCAAAAGTAATGAAAAGGACTGATACTTAATCATTTGTATTGCAATTTTTGGGATACCCTATGCATTCCTCTCTGTATTTTTTCTTGCAAAATAATTTGAATTATTCGACATTTACATTTTCAAAGAGTTAAAACGAGTTCTTTTTAGAAACATCAAGTGGATTTGTAGAAGTGATGAGAGAAGCACTAAGGAAGTCACTGATATTCAGATCAAGTGACATTTGGAACACATGTCTGCTGAGAATGTTCTAATTGATTATGATTTTTAATTTATTTTATTATCGAACATTATTTTCCAAAACACAATTGACAAGGCAAAAATTCCTGAAGTATCTTGGTGTCAGCTTTTGTTCACAACTTAGTAGTATTTAGCAAGGATTTATGAGTTAGTTGCGAAAAAATGTCTAATTTTTGGGACACTAATCCAAAAAATTCAGTAATTAATTGACTCATGCAAATCATTGTAATATTTCATGAAATTTCACGATCAATTTGAATATGGCATCATTGACCCTTTCAAATTTCTATCACCTGGTAAAACACAGGTACAAGTAGGCTTCTTTTGTTAACTAAGTCATCATAAAAATACCGTATCGTACCATCAGTTCCATTTCTATAAAAAAAAAAAAGGCTTCAAAATATAATATATGTATATTTATTCTTTATTTTACTTATCTTGTTTTATAGAAAAATGTCAGCTAGAAACTTTGGGATTAAGTGGAAATAAAGTGAGGGAGGATGAAGTAGAGTCAGAGCTGATCAAATTTATGGCAAATAACAAAAGATTACAGACATTAATTCTAAACTACAGTCGTCTTAGATGTCAATTTGGTAAGCAAAGACTAACAGTTAGTCAGAATTCATAATTATACAGCAGGTCAATGTTTCCTATTTCCTTGCCTAATCACCAATCTTTGCTTTCCTCTTGAAGTTCTTTTTATTCTTTCATAGGAGCCTCAGTGGCTGAGTGGTTTATATAGCTCATCTATAGTAATCTCTGAGGCGTCGAAATGTGTTTGACTGATCTGAGTTGACAAGGAAGGCCAGTTTTCAGGATTAAGATCGATAGTTCTGTCCAGGTACTCTGGCTTCCTTTACCAATAAAAACTGGCTGTCTTGATATGGACAAAGTAACTGCATGTGGCATTAAAAGCCAACACACAAACATTCATTTCTACTTTGAGTCTTACTTAATTTGATTTTTTCCCCTTCTTTTTCAAGTCTCATCACTTCTGTCAGCCTTAGGAAGAGAGGACACTCCTCCCTGTGTTTCTGAAGAAATTCAACCTCTGTAATGTAGAAGTTTTTCAGTTCAGTGTGATAATATTGTTCTAATAACAAAGTATGTAGAGTGTTTTATCTAATAATCACTAAATTACTAAAGATAATTTTTGTTTTGAATGTTTTCTTAATAACCTGTGCAAATTAAACATAATTTAATAGAGAGTGTAAAAGTTTGTTGTCTGAAACTTTTGAGGATTTAAGAAAAAATAGTTTTGAATTGTTTAACCTTAATAAAGTTAAATGTATGACATAAATTCTTAGTCATTATATATTGAACATAGCTTCTTTTAGTGTAGGTCAGCATTTAGTCACAAACAGGTCACAGTGACCTATTTTATTCATCAAAAGTAGGTCTCACTGACCTACATTTCTACTTATTTGACTTAAGTAAAGTTTTACTTTTAAGTTCATCTTAGTCACTGTACATATGGTAATAAGATATGTATCCATGAAGTGTGGTTCAATTTTAACCTGGTTTTTGAAACAGATTATTGATTGGGGCTTGTACATTGATTGACAGGTGGGCTGTTTCTTTGTGATAACTTTAGAACAGTTCAATTTATTCTTTTGAATTTTAATGTTGTTAAAGATGAGAAAATTTAGTTGAAGAGTAATTTTGACAATTCACTTTTACCATTCAGGAGTTCAAACAGGAGCAACTTCAACAAGACTCATGAATTTTCCAGAAAAATATGTTTAATTTCACTGATTTATGTTAATTAGGCAAAATTAAGCAAAACATGGTTAGAAATTCTTCTCCTCTTAAACCTTTTAATGGTAATCTTAATGGGACTTTGGTTGGGTGGTCCTTGGATTGTTGTTCGAAAAGTGTGTTTATTTTTGTATTTTAAAATCTGTCATCCAAAATTAAGAAATAAATTATTGAAAAAAATTCAACACAAGAATGTAGTTTGAAATTATATTTTCATCTTTTAATATACATTTTTAATTTCAGTTGACAGTGATATTTTTATGGAAACAGTTTTGACACATCCGAGCTTAAGAGAATTATCTGTAAAGAATAATCACTTAAGTAAGTATTTTAAAATTATGGCAATGGGTATTGCATCAGTTTGTTTTAGTTTTAACTTTAGAATGTAAAAACGTGAAATTCAAAAAGGAAATTATATGTTATAGTTATATTGTTATTTGTTTAGGTTAGATGTTTAATAGATACAGACCTACCAACTTTCCCACTTTATGGGTGATATCCCCCATGAGAGATGTTGACATGATCCTTAAAATACTCAATTGTTTAGACAAAATACTTTGAAAAAGGCACTTAGAGGAGGAAAAGCTACATTTAAACACATGTATTCTCATTCAAAACAATAGATCTTCTAATTAAGTACACTAATGACAAAGATAGGTAAACATGAGGTCTGCTTTAAATGCCCCATGGAGATTTTGAAAAGTTGGCAGGTATGTAGATAATATTACATGACAGAATTGTCTTTAACTTTGATATAGTAAGACAGACTAAGTGTATCCAATACTGTATGGGACAAACATATTATGGTTCATCATATTCCTCTGTGAGACAAAAACATATTATGGTTCATCATATTCCTCTGTGAGACAAAAACATATTATGGTTCATCATATTCCTCTGTGAGACAAAAACATATTATGGTTCATCATATTCCTCTGTGAGACAAAAACATATTATGGTTCATCATATTCCTCTGTGAGACAAAAACATATTATGGTTCATCATATTCCTCTGTGAGACAAAAACATATTATGGTTCATCATATTCCTCTGTGAGACAAAAACATATTATAGTTCATCATATTCCTCTGTGAGACAAAAACATATTATGGTTCATCATATTCCCCAGTGAGATAACATATTCCAAAACAATCTAAACACTAAAAGCCATTAAAGACATCTAGAGCTCAACCCAAGGGTCTGGAAACGGTCATATTTGCCAGTCATGACCTAAGCTGAAAGCTATTTGTCCTAAACGACAGATTGGGATTTAGGACAAATTTAATTTTTTTACAGAAATAATTTCAGTCATTTCATTTAGATCGGGTTTCTTAATCGCCATTTTGCACATGGTTTTGTTTTGTAATCCCTTTCCTGTAATAAAACTGCCACTACAGTATAGTACGATAATCCTGAGGGCCCTCCTAATAACTATATTAATGCCGGAGCCTCAATCTATTGTTTTTACACGAAGAGACAACTTACATCAACTGCAACCATATTTATATTCAATTAATAAAACATACAAGGAACAGAAGCTGATATCTTTAAAGGGAGGTAAATCCTTACAGGTGAATAGAGACTGAAAATCACCAGATTGAATTGTGAAGTATTAGATTGATATTTTACAAATAAATATAAATTGGTTATTGTTGTTTTTTTTCATTTTATTTATAAACTAATGACGTCAGATGCCTTAATAATTGGCTTTGAATATTTACAGAAGAAACTGTATGTAGACTTTTGAAGAGGGTGTGTTGTGCCAAGAATCCTTGTTACCTTCGTAGTCTGAATATTGGGTATGTATTTATTAATTTTTTTATTTGAATTTTTCATCTTTAAACTCTGCTTTAACATCCAGATAAGTTATCCTGAACTATTAAATATTCTATTTTCAAAATCATCAAATGAGCCTAAACTGATAATAGAAATACTCAATATATTTTTTTTTTATGCTTAAAAGACATTCATTTTTTTAAAATTTTGTCAGATGATCCCCAATTGCATTCAGTATGGCCACCACAACTGAACATTGTTGTGGTTTTCTTCTTCTTTTTTTTTATTTATTAGAACCATATTGGAACAAAAGTTTTCTGCTCTAAATTCTCTAGGCCTTTGAGCTAATTTTTGATTAATTTTCTTTGGTTTAAAACTGTGTTGTGCTGATCTATCATCAGTACTTTATTTGTGTCATAGTGGTAAATCAGTTACAGTAATCTTTGTCTCTGCAATCAGTATTGAAATCTAAATTTTTAATGTTGTGGTTCCTATGTTCCTATGTTCCTAGTATCAGGTGACCTGGTACTGTTTTAAAAATTTTGGTTAGTATAAATGATCAAACTTTTAATATATATAGCTAAAATATTGAATTGACTATAATAAATGAAACGTATCAATGTCTTTTTCCAGATATAACTGGGTAAAAGGAGCTGAATTAGTTGAGACAGCACAAGAAATAATAGCATTTAGAAAATCTCATCAAATGTTTGGACCAGTACTAGACTTTTTGTGTCTGAGTGGCAACCGTTTACATCTGTCTGATAGCTCTCAGAGCAGATTGTGGAACGTGTTTGATGGTTTAGTCAAGGACTTGGAAGTAGATAGGATAGATTATAACAGACCATTTGATGAACATCTTGCCCAGATGTAAAATGTATAATTGTATTGTGATTTATAATGGATATTTTGATAATGAAAGCAATATTTATTAAAATGTTATTATTTTCTGTTCTTGTTTCTCAACATAACTGCAATTACTTTAAACTGAAAAGTTGGAACACCAGCAAGTGGACATAAGGGGATCCTTAAGTAATCTTTAATTCATAATTCTATTGTAAACATCTTAAAGTTATTTCACTTTTCATACTTCTATAATAATTTGTAATATTCATTACTTTGATTTTTCTGTTGGAAAACTTGATTAAAAAGAGAAAGCAGTCACTATCCTGGTTGCATATATAGTAAGAGTGATTTGAGGAGGATAAATGTCATATGTATATCTAGAAAAAACTGAAGGGATAAATGGAATCGCCCAAAATACTGCACAGTTCAACAGACTACTTCAACCACCAACACCCAACTCCTCTGAAAATACATACATATAAACAAAGACAAACAAAAACAAACAACACCTGATTCATATAGCCTGACTTGGTACAGACAAAAATATGGTGGGGTTTAACCAGTGTTCTTTGTGCGCAACCCCCCCCCCCCCCCTCACCCCTTTTGCCTCATAATCTTGACCACAATCTTAAAAACTTATAAACAATAAAAAAAAAAGCTGCACACAGTGAAGCTACCAACAGGATGTCTTCTAACTTAAACTAAGAAATAAAAAGGCCAAAGGTCCAAAATGTGGAAGATTGTCTATAAATCAGCAGTTATTTTTAAAAAAAATCAAGTTGTGTTTAGTTGGTTCTTTATGAGGATATGTGATTCATTACAGTGAAGAAATATTGAAATCTGTACAGTTAAGTCTCCATAAAAGTACCAGTCACTTGACAAATGTATATATTATTTTTAAATGTAACATAAACATTATAAAATGTTATAAAGCAAAAACAAAGCAAATCTAATGATTTTTTTAAGAAGTTATATTACTTTAAAGGGAATTGTAGCTGCTGCATTAGAATTGAGGTAGTCATTTTGTACTACATGTATAACGACTTCATACCATGACATTTAGTACCATAGTATTTTTGTATCATGACCATTTCGTATCATATAAACAACCTGTCATTTTTGTCATTTTGTACTAAAAAGGCCTTCTTCGAGAATGCTATTTTGTACCCTACAGAGCTACCTTTATGGAAACCTTTTCGTGCCATCTTTTTATGTATGAAAATAAGGAGATGTGGTATGATTGCTAATGAGACATCTCTCCACCAGAGACCAAACGATGTAGAAGTTAATAACTATAGGTCACTGTTTTGCCTTCAACAATGAGCAAAACCCAAATCGCATAGTAAGCTAACAAAGACCCAGAAAAGACAAATGTAAAACAATTGGACAAGAAGATTTATGTACAAAACAATAAACGAAGAAAATAAGTATGATATACAGCAAAAAATGACAACCACTAAATTACAGGCTTCTGTCCCATATGTGTATGCTTTTTATACGACCGCAAAAAAATTTTGCGGTCGTATATTGGTATGACGTTGGCGTCGTCGTCCGAAGACACATTGGTTTTCGCACTCTAACTGTAGTTTAAGTGAATGGATCTCTATGAAATTTTACCATAAGGTTCAATACCACAAAAGGAAGGTTGGGATTGATTTTGGAGGTTATGGTACCAACAGTTAAGGAATTAGGGGCCAAAAATAAGCATTTTTGTAACTTCCAGACATAACTTGTGTGTTAGTGTATGGATCTCTCTGACATTGTACCACAAGGTTCCATATCACAAAGGGAATGCTTGGATTGATTTTGGGGGTAATTGCCTCAAAATTTTAGGAATTAGGGGCCAAAAAAGGGGCAAAAAACAAGCATTTTTCTAGTTTCATGATAATAACTTGTGTGTAAGTGTATGGATCTTTCTGAAATTGTACTACAAGGTTCCATATCTCAAAGGAAAAGCTGGAATTGAGTTTGGGGGTAATTGTCCAAAACGTTTAGGAATAAGGAGCCAAAAAGGGGCCAAAAATAAACATTCTTCTAGTTTCCAGACAATAACTTGTGTTCAAGTGTATGGATCTCTCTGAAATTGTACTGCAATTGCCTTAAAATTTTAGGAATTAGGGGCCAAAAAGGGGCAAAAAACAAGCATTTTTTCTAGTTTCAGGACAATAACTTGTGTGTAAGTGTATGGATCTTTATGAAATTGTACTAAAATTTTCCATATCACAAAGGGAAAGCTTGGTTTGAGTTTGGGGGTAATTGCCCTAAACGTTTAGGAATTTGGGGCCAAAAAGGGGCCTAAAAACAAGCATTTTTCTAGTTTCCAGACAATAACTTGTGTTCAAGTGTATGGATCCCTCTGAAATTGTACTGCAAGGTACCATACCACAAAGGGAAGGCTGGGATTGAGTTTGGGGCTGATGAATCATAAGGGGGTTCAAAAAATTTGGGGGAGGGATTTTTTTTTTCTTTAAAATTTTCCATTTTAAATTGGTTATTTCTGATTTATATATAAAAGCAAATAATAATGATATGGTTTGAATAGGTAAATTAAAATTTTTTAAGTTCTTAGACCACATTCATTCTGTGTCAGAAACCTATGCTGTGTCAAATATTTAATCACAATCCAAATTCAGTGCTGTATCAAGCTTGAATGTTGTGTCCATACTTGCCCCAACTGTTCAGGGTTCGACCTCTGCGGTCGTATCATGCTGCGCCCAGCGGAGCATTTTATTTGTACAAGTTACCGGGTTGACAAACTACATTTATGTCATATTGGTACCATACAGAACAACCATTTAATATGTGTATATTACAGGAAAACATTTGGTGCATATGGTATAAACTGATTCGTATAAATGCTAATTTGCCGTATAATGGTAGGAAATGGCACATAGAATATTTACACTCATACATGTATGTGGTCTATTTATAGTACTAAATGATACACATACTGTATTTGGTTAATTAACTCTTAACTGTCCCCCTCACGAGGCATTGCAGGGGACATAAAAATACCTGGTGTCTGTCTGTTCCTCTGTTCGATCTTGTAAGTGCTGTCAAGTGTACAATTGTTGCCAGATATTAATGTAATTTATATCATAGGTTTATATTGGCAATGTCTTGGACAAATTCGAAAATCAGTGCGAACTATTTTTTTATTTAAAGATTTATGCCTCTTGGAAATATTAATTATATAGTAAATAAACTCGTTATAGATACCAGGATTAAAATTATGTACACCAGATGCGGGTTTCGTTTACAAAAGACTCAGATTGTATTGTAAGTATATCTCAAGTGTATAACTTTTTCAAGATATTAATGAAATTTATATTAAAGATTTATATCAAGAAAATATTGAATAGAACAAATTTGAAAATCAGTGCTGATCAACTATTTTTAAAAGAGTTATGTCCCTTGGAAATATTAATTATATAGAAAATTGCATTGTAAGCGCTCTCAAGCCTACATTTCTTGTATAATGATTGATATGAAATTTATACTGAAGTTTGATATTGTTTATTTCAGCAATGTCTGGGATGAGATCGAAAATCAGTGCTATCCAGTTTTTTTACTGGAGTTATGTCCTTTAGAAATGTAAATTCTATATAGAAAATTGCATTATGAGCACTCTTGAGTGCACAATTCTTGCCAGATATTTATGAAATTTACATCAAAGGTTTATATCAGCAGTGTCTGGGACATTTTCGAAAATCAGTGCGGATCAATTATTTTTGAAAGAGTAATGCCCCTTGGAAATATTAATTATATAGAAAATTACATTGTAAGCACTCTCACAACATCATTTCTTGACGGATTGTTATGAAATCTTTATCAAAGGATTATATGTGCAATGTCTTGAATAAGTTCAAAAATCTGTGCTGATCTATTATTTTTACATGAGTAATGTCTCTTTGAAATGTAATTTATATTGAACGTTGCATTGTTAGCACTCCCACACCATTAATGTTGTTACATCTACATTTCTTGCTGAATTTTTATGCAGTTTATATCATCGCCTTATATCAGCAAGGTCTAGAAAGACCAACTATTTTTACAGGAGTTATGCCCATTGCAAATAGAAATATATGGTAAATAACATTGTTAGAGATCTCATGTCTTCATTTCTTGTAAGTTATTTATAAAAAGTTTAAAAAGAACTAATCAAATAAGATATGTATTTTTGTCTCGCCTGTGAAGAAAGTAGCGGAATTGCTTTTCTGGTAACAGCGGTGTCGTCAACAATTGTTAAGTTTTCTGCTTAAGTTAGTTTGATAGGAAGTTCCTATTAGGAACTACTTGTGATAGATCATTGATATTTAATATAAAGTTGCATTACTATCAGTATATATCAGTTTGACGACTATTTCCAGGCCCTGCCCTAGGTCATGGTCCAGCAACTTTGAATTAACTAGCAATTTTCAATGTTAAGTTTTCTGCTTAAGTTAGTTTGATTGAAACTACTTGTGATAGATCATTCATATTTGATATGAATTTGCATTACTATCAGTACATATGAGTTTGACGACTATTTTGAGGCCCTACCCCCTAAGTGATAGTCCAGTGACTTTGAATAAATAAGAAATTTTCAATGTTAAGTTTTCAGCTTAAGTTAGTTTGATAGGATCTACTTGTGATAGATCAATGATATTTTGTATGAAGTCGCATTACTATCAGTACATATCAGTTTGACAACTACTTTGAGGCCCTGTCCCCTAGGACATGGTCCAGTGACTTCGAATTAATAAGCAATTTTCAATTTTAAGTTTTCTGCTTAAGTCAGTTTGATAAGAACTACTTGTGACAGATCAATGATATTTTGTATAAAGTTGCATTACTATCAGTACATCTCAGTTTATCAACCATTTCTAGGCCCTGCCCACAAGATCACGGTCCAGCGACTTTGAATTAATAAGCAATGGTGCTGTCCATCAGATTGTCTTTTTCTGAATTTTATGTGGGCAGGCGAGACATATCTCTGTGTCAACAGTTTATTAGTTATTGACCTTGGACATTCTCTCCTAGTGATTATAGGTTTGCCTTTTGTGTACCCAAGGCAGGTGAAGGAAGTCAGCTTTGAAGCACTGTGATTGGATGTAAGGGTATAATACATTTTTGAATTTATTTATGAATAACTTAGTTTGTATATTTACAATTTATATTTGAAAACACATTGAAATATTTTCTTGAGAATTATTTGAAAAGTATGGCAAGCCGTTTTACTATTTATTCCAAATTCAAGATATCTCATATAATATATCAGATATCTTATATAATCTAGTGTTTATAAGATATATAATAATGTTTATAAGATATCTTATAAATTTTTTTTATATAAATATAATATATAATATCTTAAATACTTTATAAGATATCTCATTTATTTTATAAGATAACTTATATAGTTTATAAGATATCTCATATAGTTTATAATCATATAATTTATAAGATATCTTAATAAAGCAAATTATCTGAGATTTCTTATAAATTATATGAGATATCTTTTAAACTATATAAGATATCTTATAAACTATATAATATATCTCAATCTCATATATATAAGATATATCATATAATATATAACATATCTTATAAGCTTTATAAGATATCTTATAAATATATACTTTATAAGATATCTTCTAAAGTTTAGAAGATATCTTATAAATATTTTTTATATAAGATATCTTATATACTTTAGAAGATATTTCATATATTTTATAAGATACCTCATATATTTTATAAGATGTTTCAACTATTATATAATTCTATGAGATATCTTATAAATTATATGTGATATCTTATAAACTGTATGTGATATCTTATAAACTATATAAGATATCTTATTAACTATATAAGATATCTTATAAACTATATGAGATATCTTATAAAGTTTATTAGAAATCTTGAATAAATAGTTAAACAGCTTGCCATAGAAAAGGCTTCCAAAATTTCATAAATTTGATGAAAATGATGGTTGCCATGGATACTATAAACAAGCTCCACTCAAAGATGGTCACGCCACCATTTGACTTGTCAATTTCTTAAACAGAATTAAGTACACATGTAACTGTCTTGTCCAGGTCTTTATTATAAAAAGCATAGGTACTTGGGGACAGGACAATTTTTTAAGCCCTCCCCCTTTTATCCAAAATCTGTTATTTTTTGGTTTTCTATTAATTTCAATTATTTTCATGTTTTTCTGTATTATATGAACATAAATATACTAGAAATAACTTGCATTTGCTATTTACTATCAATTCCAAGTTTACTATCCACAGCGGTCAGTGTTGTAATTGAAACTGATAGAAAACCGAAAAAATTACGGATTTTGGAAAAAAGGGTTAACAAATTGTCCCACACTACACAGGCACTTGTCTCTATAAAAAATTACTTATATACTATAGTTTCAGAGACAAGGTTAGTTTTCCTTGTAGCTTAAATCCGGAATTTCAAGCCGTTTAAGATTTGTTTTGGAAAAAAGTAAAACGCACTGGTGATAGCAAGCGTGAAATTGACACAAAAGGAAAACAACAACACGTGCATGATTATTATGTTTCAAAAGCAAAAGAAATGGGAAAGAACAAGTTTAAACGACAACCAGGAGCTTCTTTAGGTAGTTTTGAAACCGTTTTCATATTTGGGAATTCTTGTGAAATCATCGAAACACTATCAGAAACGAATTACATATTAGTAAAATTCCTTTTTCGAACATATTTTCTGTCATAAAATTTTTAATCAAATCTCAGCCGAGTTATTTGCATCACATAACGTTAGCCCAGTAAGGTTTGAGTCTACAAAAAAGACAACTTGGGCCGTCTATGATGACAAGTCAGACCGCCCATTAACAGGTCAGGAATAACCACCAATTGGTGGATTATACCTCAATTGACGTATAATCCACCAATTGACATATATTGGTATAGACCAATTGACGTATAATGCAAGTTTTTTTGTTATAAAATGCTAGTGTGAGATAGGAGCTTCATTTTGCAACTTACAACCTATTTTATGACCATTATTGAGTCCTCCGAAAGTTTCAGTTTTGTCAAAGCCTGCTGCATCTCTTGAGAATGAATGTATACAACAATTCTTTTGATGAAACATCTGTACTATTGACCATGATTGACTTTTAATAATGAAAGTCAAGTATTAACATAGAGCTTCATTCACCTGTGGAGTTGTACTCATAATCACATGACTGCAGACAGTATTGATGTCCATTGACTTACCTTACCGCTGAATCTTTCTCCGTCCTTCAGGACAACCTCTTAGTAGAGTGCATTAGTACATACGACCCTCCACCATCCAGAATATCATACAAATATATATATACAGTTTATATACAGGTCCGCAATTGTTTGTTTAATTGCTGTCACTAGTTCTGTTGAATCAGTTAATACTCAATCAGTATACACTCATTTTGAATGTTTCTTCTGCATACTTATGGTTCTAGCTCTTATACTATGCAGTGCATAGCACAACTTTCTGGAAATTAGTTCACATAGTTGTTCTGTTTTTCTATCCAATAATAAATCTGAATTCTGATGTCTAAGTTTAGTACAGTCCATAATTAATTGTGTCTGAGTATTTGCAGACAATTTGTAAAAGGAAATGGACGCATCTTTAAGTATATTATCTTCAATTTGATTTATGAAGGGACTTCTTATAGGTTCTAGAACCTTACATTTTAATAGTAGATGTTCAATATCTTCATCTTCATCGTCACAGAGTTTACATAAAGGAGATTCACTTTTTGTAAAGCTAGCACGTTTGATTTGTGTCATAAAAGTTCCAGTGACTAATTTAAGTTTAATCGCAATCGATAGCGCACCTTTTGACGGATTGTTGTCATTATTGAGATCAATAATTGGATGATTTTTTCTTGGTAAAAATATATCACAATTCAAATATGTCAACGTTGGATAAGATCTACTGTTTTGAATTATTTTATGGATCCAATACAGATCTACTTTTTTCTGTATGATGTTTTTCCATTCAAGTTTCTTCGGTGGATTATCAAGGAATTGAATGATATCAGAAAAGTCATATTTATATAATAATTTCTTGATGGCTATATACCAACTATTGCTATTGTCTGGTTTGATAAGCAGCTGTCTATATGCAAGTTGTTTTTCTTTTGATCTATCATTTTGTCTGCATATGTTATTAAACAAAGCTAGACTTTTTGTGTCAATTTGTGCTTCTATAGGAAGTAAACCTGAGATAACGTAGATTGCTGGATCTGGGGTATTTGGAGGTAATGACAAAATTTTCTTCAATATTGTTTTTTGAAACTGCTCTAATTTTTGCATATTTGTTGAGTTCGGAAGTACTACTTCTAGACCGTACGTTAAGACAGGTTGGATGTATGTCTTATATATTGATACAGATGTTATCGGATCTAGACCGTTATTCCCATGAAAACCGGCTGATAGTAAACTGTATGCTGTTCTGCGAGCTTTTGTGATATTTTGTTCTATATTGAGATTATCTGATTTTGACTTAGTTGTTGAACGAATTATTCCTAAATGTGTGGATTTGTCCAAATTTGGCATTTCTTTGTTATCAAGATTAAAATTCCAATTGTGATTAGCTGTTTTCTTTGCTTTGTTCTCTACTTGGATAATGACACTTTTTTTAGGTTGTAGAGTATAATAATGGAGTTGGCTGTATTGTAAGGCATGGTTAACCAAAATTTGTAGGTCATAGGGATTATCACTGAGTAATGCAATGTCATCTGCGCATGCAACAGCATTGATATTGATGTTACCTATCTTACAGCCTAGTGTTGAGTTTTCATATAATGATAACAAGTCTTCTATGTATAGTTTATACAGGTCAGCACTTAACAATCCACCTTGTTTGACCCCTTGATATACTTTAAATTCCTGGGATAGTTGATTCTTCCATTTGATACTACAGCTTGTATTTTTATGAAGTTCGTCAATTATGGACCAAGTTGCTGGGTCTATATCTAGTAAAAATAACTTTCTCATCTGCATATTTATGATGACGACATCAAATGCCGACTTAGCATCGAGTAGCGCAATGTAAAAAGGACTATTACAGTCGGTGTACTCTCTATATATTTCTTCAAATATAATTGCTGCATTTAATGGGGAAGTATTTGGTGTAAATCCTCTTTGTAGTGGGGATTGTTTCTCAAGTAATATTGGTCTAAAGTCTATTCTGGCGATATATTCAATGATTTTACATAGAATGGGTAACACAACAATTCCTCTATAGTTCTTGGAGTCATTCTTACTTCCTTTATTTTTAAATATAGGAGATAATAGTCCTAATTTAATTATTTCAGGTAATAATTTATCATGAATAATGTTATTAACCAGACAAAGTAGATAATCTGTGAAGTCATCTCCTGCATTTAGAATATGCTCAATTGACAGACCAAAGATATCTTCTGATTTTCCTGTATTTATAGATTTAATTGCTTCAAGGAGTTCTGATTTTGTTACTATTCTAGGTGAAGTTTGACTGCATAGGTATTTTATTGCTTGATAAATATAATCTACATCACATAGTTTCTGATGTTTGGAATCATATGTACTATTCTGGATTGGTTCAGCAAGGGTTTTAAAATGATTGTGCCATCCATTAATCACCCCCTCATTTTCATATGTTTTATCTGATACATGTAAATCATTAATAAAGACATGAAAGATGTTTTTGTTATTTCTTTGTTTTTTAATAAGTTGGTAAAACAGTCTTTTATTCTGCGTATTTGCAGTTATAATTCTGTCTCTTTCTATATGTTTGCGCTTATTTTCTTCCTTTCTCAGTTCAGTTCTGAATAGTTTTCTAGTTTCCTTTTTTTCTATAACCAGTGGATGTTCAGGGTCATTCGGTCTATCCGCATTTTTCCAATTCTTGTATGCTATTTTATTTTGATGTAAAGTATGTTTAATCTCCTGATTCCATAATTTTAATTTCAGTTTGTTTTTCCCATACGTTTTTTGAGCGGAGCATTTCTTAGCCGTACTTGAAAGCATTTCCATGGTTTGTTCTATTGTGGTCGTAACTGAATTTTGTTGATTCTGTAATTTTTCCTTTAACATAGGAATTTCTTGTGCTATAATATTAGTATACTTATTAATATCAACTTTGTCCCATCTAATTCTTGATTGTACATTACTCTCTAATATGTCATCTTTCTTTAAAAATTTACATGGAAGTGTGATCATGATCGAATGATGATCAGATACATTGGATCAGTTAATCTTGAGGTTTTGTGAATGACTTCTGTCTTGTATATGAAGTAGTCGATTTCAGAGATTTCTTCTCCTTTAACATTGATGAAGGTTGGACCTTTAAAATCTACTTTCATGTTACATTCATCTATTAATTTTTTCAATTTTAATGCTCTTCTTGAGTTATTTATTTTTGAAATATCCTCATTGAAATCTCCTCCAATTACGAGGTTATGTGTAAGCTCATATTTTTGAATAATCTCAAATAGTTGGTCTATACATTCACTGAACTCTTCAAATTTGTCATTTTCTGCTTTTGTTGGCAGATATGCAGAGACTAATAAAATCGGATTTTTTAGGGCTAGTTCAATACATTGAATTCTATTGTTTCCATCAATTATGGGTTTTACATACTGATCAATTGAGCGGTCCCATATTATGGCCACACCTCCATATCCTCTGACTGATTTTATCAATAAATCACATGTGTTTTTCCCAGAGTTAATCGACTTTCCTTTGCCACAAAAATGTGAATTTAATTCATCTAAGAGATTAAGCTCATGATCGAATAACCAATGCTCTTGAAGCAATATAATATCTACTTGATTTCTCATGTTCTCAATAAATGGGGCTATAGTCTTTACATTTTTACAATTAAAAGATAAAATTCGTAGTTCACTCTGCTGTGGAGTCGTCTTAATAGGAGTTGGGCAAGTTATAGTTGAGTTTGACATATCCCTAAAAAATGATTCTGGTTTTGTTGAGGTGGTTGATCAAACATATTATGGAAGGAATTTGGAGCAGTCAAATGGGACTTTCTTTCCATGTAGCTATTCTGTGACAAATGCTGGGGATTGTTGTAGTATGGATCTCTGTTGATTGTAGTTGTTTGAGGAATTTGGTTTATGTATCCATTGTGTAGAGGTTGATGTATAGGTATTGACTGTTGTTCATTAAAATATATAGGTTGTCCCCATAGTGGAGTCGGTGGTATACTAGTATTAACTATTTGGGATTTCGTGCAACATTTGCTTTGATTTTGAGTTTGTAAATTGTAGCTAGATTGATTACTTGTAGTCGCTGTTTTTGACCTCGGTACTGCAGTGTTACTTGTAGGAACAGAACCAGTCATTGGTGATCCTTGGATGATTGGTGTACTATTTTGTATATCAGAGTTGTCAGTACATCTTGTATTCCTTTGATTAGTTGGCTGCGAGTTACAGGTATTATTGACATTTTCATTAAATTGGTTGATAATGTTGTCAAATTGGGTATCCATCTGTTTGAGGATAAATCCAAGGTTGGGCGGTATTTACCACCCCCGGTATTTACCAGTGGTATTTACCGGTATTTACCGCCCCGGACAATACTCCCCAAATGGTCAATACTGGCAAATACTGGTCAA